AATATGATCCAACGATCGAAGACTTTTATCGCAAGGAGATCGACGTCGATAACAGTCCCTCCATTTTGGAAATTTTAGACACCGCCGGCACGGAACAGTTCGCTTCCATGAGAGATTTATACATCAAAAATGGTCAAGGATTTCTTCTTATATACTCTCTTTTAAACCGACAAACATTCAATGACCTAAAGGCAATAAAGGATCAAATTCTCCGCGTGAAAAACATGGACACGGTCCCAATGATTCTTGTTGGAAATAAAAGTGACATGTTCGACGAACGCGAGGTGTCTGCTAATGAAGCGAAACTTCTAGCCGAAGAATGGGGATGTCCGCACTTCGAGACCTCAGCTAAAACCAGTAGCAATGTCGATGAAATGTTCTCAGAGATTGTGAGACAAATGAAAACAAGACAGAAGGAATCTGGAAGTGGAGGATGTTGTGTTGTGCTCTAACCTCAATGCAAGGCCATAATTTTGTGGATGGTTCGCGCACCTGATCTTAATACTAAAAACTTTGTCGAGATAGTGATACATATTACGTCCACTTTACGTTTAAGGTCTGTGACACTATGTGTCGAAGGTGATGCCTTTATGTTAAAACCTTTTATGACTTTTACAAGAGAATATTACCACCTCAGGCGATGTCGTGAATTCCGCTGTAAGTTTAATTGCTATGAAATAGTGTTTTTTATTAGAAAGAATGTTTTGACTTTGTTTAATTCTGGAGTTTTTAAACACTTTGTTAGATTCTCTTCCTAAAGAGAACAAGATTTTTTTTTAAGTTTTAAAGATATTTTAGAAATATGCGTTTTTTAATCCCATGTAGGTCATATTTCTAAACTCATGACAACAATGTATGGAGCGTAACGATGGAGACCTCTGTACTATGTATCTTTGCAAATTAGCCAGTAATTTTTTGTACAATGTCCAAATATCGCATAGAATACTTATAATTAATCTTCACTTGACACCATAATGATATATAATTTTTTTAAATAAAGGGACACCAAACTAATTTTCCACTTTCTTTTGTAACCGACTTAAAGAATGACAAGGTATTTTCGTAAATATAAGGACGTCTGCAAACAACTAACCGACGCGCGTTTGTGTTTACTTCTGTTCTTCCTTGAGTATCTCTGAGTCATTATGGAAGATTGACTATATTTATACAGGTGTTTCGTCCGTAGATATTGTCAAGCAACCTACATGAATAAAAAAAGGCTTGATATTGCTTTTTCTGAATTTGAAATCACATGAAAAATCCTTAACGCTGTTGCAAAATTATTTGTCATTTGTTAGATATTTGTTAAGCATTCTGTCTGCGAGGAATGTTCTCGTTGAATTAAATCTCCAAGGAGTAAAGGTGTCATAAGCACGTTAAATTCATTTACCATCATGATGAATGATATCATACCATAAAATTCCAAAAATAAGCCCCAGGACTTATATTTTTCAAAGGCCCCTTTTGAGGGGCTTATTTTTGGAGGGGCTTATATTAGGAGGGGCTTATGTATGGAGGGAAATTTGTGTTTCATGATCGATTGGGCTAGCTTATAGTTGGAAGAAATTTACCGTTTTTGCTTTGTTTTACTTTGTATTTGAGGGCAATTTCCAAGTGTGAGCCCCTGTGGGGGCTTATATTCAGAGGGGCGATTTAATGGAGGTTTTTTTCGCTTTGCAGGTTTGGGGGGCTTATATTTGGAGGGGCTTGTTTTTGGAATTTGTCAGAATATGGTCTTCAAATTCAACACAGTTTCTGAGTTCTCTCCCATTCTTGTCTTTTTTTGTTGACCTTCATTATTTGTCTCTTTAAGAGGCTATTGTCTTTTGAGAACAGTACCATAGCTCTGAAATACAGTAGTAACCTGGATAGCTGGTGGTGAATGCAGGCTAAATGTGAAAAACAAACAAACTGCAGTGAACCCTCATTATACTGAGACCACCATAGGGCTATCTAACATTTCTGCAATCAAGGACAAAAGTCTTGGGACAACTGTACAGTTTTAACTCTTTTCAACAGATGCCAAATAAACATCATGCATGACTAACAATTCACCTACCCCAACCCCACAGACAGTGTTGAAACCGTCAGGTCATAATAGGCTGCTTCGGAGTTTCAAAAATCCTCACTTTCAAAATGAGGCCAGCAACACAACCTTTCTTGTGAAAATGAGTTTGAATTGCTCGAGAGTGAAAAATCATTTCCACATAAAAGGCTAAGCACTTAACCTTGTTTTGATACTGGGGCCTGGCGGAACTCGGAAATGGCTATTTCTTTGATACTTTGGCAATGTATTGAAGACTTGCATAGTGATGGCGGTGTGACCTGACTGTTACTTAAATGTCTATGCAAGTAAGTTGCACGTGGCAATGACCAACTCGAAAGCCTAAGCTCCTTTGATCACTGCACTCCTTTCACCTTTGATAATTTATGTAATTTTTGGTTTTGTTTTCTCTTACTTTTGTATTGTATTGTATTTGTTTTATTAACCTTTTGAAACAGTGCAAAACAAAATATAAAATCTGAAATCTGAATTGGGTGGGGATTGGGGAGGGGTTAATGATTTTTTAAAGAGTAGCACTGCTTTTCCGAACATTACTTGTGATTCACATCAAACTGCTGTTATGCTTGTACTGTCCCAATGACTTTTTTCGAGGATTGTAGATAAGGAAACAGGGCTTTGCTCTAGCATTCCCCCGTGGCTTCTAGCACCTTGTTTTTCCTCGTGGGCGACTATAGGGAATCATACTTGTTTTTAATAAAGAGCAAATGCACTTTATTTCAGTGCACTGAGTTCCCTTTAAATTTTCTCAGAGAACAGCACAACTTTGGAAAATTACTGGGATTTTTAACATTCAGTCTTGAGAGAATATGGTTGTAATTATAAAAGGATGCTTATATTAATGGGGAACTTATAAAGTGTGATTCCACTGCAAACATGGCCTGGTTGTTACATTCAAGCAATGCTGTTTCTTTAATTTGAAAAAACGTAACATTTCATAAGTTTTTTTCAATCACTTTTATTTGTAGCCATTTGCTGGCACAAAAAATATGCACCCAGTCTGCTACTGTCATCTACAGATCCAAATTAAAATGTAAAACATCATGACCCACTACTTAAGTTTCAAATATATCACAGATCAAAGAAGTTTTTCACTAAGTTTAAAAAGTGAAAAAGAAATATTAGACACACTTGAATCAAAAGTGGTTTTAATCTCTACAAAACACAAGGGACATGCATTCTCATCTCCAGTGCTGGGCTTCTTTTGGCCAGCATCACAGATCAAGAGCTCTTGCTGAGGCTGTAACCTGAAGTTGGCAAAATAATCATTAACTTCTGGCTTTCTGTGCTGTGCGTCAGAAATTTCAAACGATCAACGTTACGAATGGTGACAACAATGTGAAGCTACTGTGCTTGTGTGTAAATCCTGGTCCCATGGCCAGCCAGAGCTCTTGATCAGAGGAGCTAATGGTCCACAAGGATTGCAGCTCTGGGGATAGGAATGACACATGTAAAGATGCACAACAATTATTGTTCAGACTTGTTAACTTTGTTTGTTGCCTTTGAGCTATAAACCCAGCAAAGAGACAACTAAGGCAAAGGCAAACAAATCAACCACAACCAGATGAAGAAGAAAAAAAGAAAACTGACAAACAATGACTGTAAAAGAGAAAGCTTTTAAAATGAGTGAGGATAGAGAACACTGGGCCCTTTCAAGAATACAAATAATTATATAAGTATCCAATATCACTAAGTTTGAATTAATCCGCCTTCATGCCCTGGCAATTATTATGAAAGCATTTAGCACATCTTACAAATCTGCAATTGAAAGTTTAAGCATCTTAAGGAATTGTAATGAACTATCTATGGTCTGACCATTTTGACTTAAATCATTGTACTAAAACTTAACTAAATAGCACTTGCTATTTCTTTCCATTAAAAAAGTAAAAACAAATTGAAAACTAATTTTAAACAAAATTGATTTTTTGATGGTATTTTTAAAAAAGTTCAAAATTATATGAGCAACAGAACTACTGTTAAGCATTAATGTTTCTATTTTTACAGGCTGGATGAGACAAAACTATAAGGCAGCTTGCCTATGAGTCAAGGCCACACTTAGTACAAGGCCCTTGCCTTGGAAAAATGGCTACATGTAACAAATACAAAATTTGAAATTTGGGAAGTACTGATGAATATTATCGGCCGTGTGCTAATTACAGCGGTTACCACTAACACATGCCCTCAAAGGCTTTTTTCTTTGGCTCAAACCTGCGGTTTGGTGGACGTCAATCAACAGTTACCATAGTTTTCATGCGTTGGCCAAGAGAAAATTCTTTGCCCGTTTCTTGAGCACTTGGAATAACATGCTGGCATTTCATCTTAATTAAAAAATTAAAAACACTGTGGTCATTCTTAATTATTCTTGTAAGTCTTCGCCTTTCATTCAGTGATGAGGGAACCTTCTCTGTCAGAGTGAGTGAGAAAACCATGGAAAACAGTTGATTGGCATGCACGAAAACTCACTGGTTTCAACAGGGGGAAAAACCCTTGGAGGGTGCATGTTAGTGGCAACCACTGTGATATGTCAACTGAATTCCATGACTATTTGTTAAAACTTCGAAAAAAACTCAGCTTCTCATCATTTACCAGTTATTTAGAATACTAGAAAACTGTTAAATTTATTATTATTATTTTCTAGGTAACATAGTTATACATTGTGTGGTTAACAAAACAGTCTAAGCTCCCTTAAGCAGACACCCACCAGAATAAAAAAATCTCAATTACTGGAGAGAGTTTAAACAGAGAGTTTAAATGGGGTTTTGTCAAGGTGGCATGTTGAGAGTGTCTGTATTGAGAGCTTTGATTACATGTAAAAGCACAGTATCACAAGTAAGATAAAATGCCACTAAACTAGCTCATATTTATTGTTACGCTGAAGATTGCTAGCCAAGCAACAAGACAGGGCAACACCAATAATCTGTAACAAAAGTAAAGTGAAATGTCAAAATTACATTTATTATTATTTATGATTCTACTGTCATCATGAATAAATTATTGTAATATCATCAATAAACAATGACCCTCATAACCAAAACTGTTTGGGCATAATTATAGAAGGCTCAGAGAACAGTCAGCAAAAGTTCTAAACACTGACAACAACAACAACTTTATCAATAGCCAGAACACGTCATACATGTATTTACACTTATAAATATGCCTATAAGATTTTTTTTCGCTGAAGTAAATCAGTAATATGGGAATTCTACAGAACATTTTTCTTTATAGAATATTTTTCAATGCTGACATCTTTTTATAACAAGTTATTGATTTGGAAAAATAATGTCCTGTCTGGGTGACCATCATTCCCCTGACTCTAAACAGCAGAGATTATGTATACTTTTTGAAATCAAGGCTAACATCAGTAGATCTATGTATAAGAAGCTCATCCAATTGTTTGTTTACAAGTATTCTTGGTACTGGTCTCACCTGAAACAATGCAATCCCCAGAGCTGTAGCTCCAATGATCAACAATTTATCTTCAAAGAAATTTACTGCAGCATCATAGCAGCCCTGCGAAAAACAAATTAAGACATATATAAACTGGAAAAATTTCACCCACAAACTTAGGAGAATTTAAACCTTGAAAGAAAACTTTTAAAAGACTACTAAATTTGACTCCATCTTTTAGTTTGGACAAACTTCAAGAGGCCAGTCAGCAAACCAGTTAGCTTATACTCTACTAGGCAACTGAGGCTCACTGGGCAATAAAACATGCGGCAGCAAATCACCCTGCGAGCAAAGCCTCGTTGTTTCTTCTTGAGTGTGGATGAGGAAAGGAGGCTGTGCCTGAATCACATCAAACCTTTCAAGTTAACTACCGAATCCCAAACTTCTGGACTAGTCAATCTTGTTTTCTCTTGTACACTGGTTTTCAGAGTCTGTTCCAGCATCTGTTTATTGATAAACCAGTAGTCATAATACCAAGGGCACAGCTAAAAAACCTGGGTTCGAAACAGTATCCAAGCTACAGGCAGCGCGATTCATGCCAGATCTACAATGCAAAAGGCTAGCAAGTTAACCCTTTAAGTCCGAATAGTGACCCACATCAATTTTCTCCTCACAATATCCATACAATGTCAAGAGATTAGGTTATGAGAATTAATAAAATGATCACCTAAGAGAAAATGCTTTGACCTTTTATCAAATTCTCTCAACTCATTCTTTAAGGAAATGTATAGAGATCTGTTTGGAGAATTTGCATATAGATATTGGGGCCTAAAGGGTTAAAGGAAGGCTCTGTTAGTAGATTGAGAGGCAGTATAAAATGGGCTAAATCACCAAAAACAATCACTGGATCATACCTTATGATAAATTGTGCCTGGATGAGTGGTCACATTCTTATTGCAATTGTCTGCTTCTTTCACACAGCACGATTTAGGAACTGAAAAATTTCCAACCTCTTCTGAACTCCAGTCTCTGTAAAACCAGTCAGTGTAGTTTGCACTTCCGCAACAATGCAGCTATCACAGAAAATCATAAACTCTTAGGCTGTCTATATATTGTTACAATACGTCAGTGCCACCTTATTAGAAGGATTGCATCAAAGATTACAGTAATAATTTTATTTAAGATGCACATGTCACTGTTAACAAAGCAAGTAAATCAAACCTTTGACTGAAGTCCATCCCAGGCATCTGTGAATCCCTTTTCTTTGTAGTCATCAAGTGCGGCGTCAAGCCCCTCACTGAATCCACTCTTGATCTGCAAACAGATTTATTAAGAATTACAGCAAATACTGGTAAGACTGTGTTAGGTGAATTAACTGGTTGCAAATCCAAAATTTAATGTCTGTTAACCTGTTAGTAATAATCAGGTGTAGAACGAGAGACTCACTGAAACTGAAATTCATTTCACTTTACAGATCATCATTGACCAATCCATCCATACATTAGTTTACCCCATTTATTAGCCCCATTTTCAACAGTAAAATATTGTTATTCCAAGAACAGATTCTTGGATAATTAAATTTATAATTTGGTTAGTAAAATTTATGCCCACTAACCCGAAGGGTTAGTTACCAAAAAAATTAATTCCGAGCCCTGCCTTTGCGCTGTAATAAGGACAAGTGTATATTAATACAAAATGCCCTTCACCAACAGGAAAACATGGCAAAATATCCACCCAACAATGAAACAGCTTTTCTTCTTTTCTGTACATATCCTGTCCATATCCTGCGTGCAGCTGGTCACAATTGAGTTTTATAACATAGAAGAGTAAAGCACGTACGTACATGAACTCTGATAGTCAATTACTCATGCACTATTTGACCTTTTGTAAATACTGTCAAAAGCTAGTGTACATTCAAAGCCATACATGATTATATTGTTATATAAAAATGAAAAGTGGTGCAGTTGTGCAACCTTCATAGAGTTATGGATGCACATGGAAGATTTCCCTTCACTTGTTTTGTAGATGGCAACCTCCAGCATGCATCCACAACTTTGTAGTCGCACTGCAAGTTTCTTAAACAATCAAATACACAGAGGTCAGTCAATTTGCTCAATTCTAGCTTTAATAAATGCTTAAAATCATTACCTTATGGCGGAAAACGTAACCGGTGATTGATCCACCAAGTTCAACCAGGAAAAGTATGCCAAGAATCACAGCAAACTGAAAGATCAAAGTTTGCTATTAAGTAATCAAATGTCCCAGTTATCCAAATAACATTGTGTATAATCATAACTATTACAATTTCCTCAAATTTGATTGGTGCATTAACTGCTTCATTTTTCACTAATATTGTGCAAGGGTTGTAACGGAACTTTGTAATCAGATCATTGCCTGTAATTGGACAGTTACATCAGCCAATCATATCTAAAGTGCACTCAGCTAAATCCACAAATCACAGAATTTATCACAATAACCATAGCAACAACCACTTACCCTACCGAGCTGGGGATTTTCCAAAATGGACAAATTTGTAACATTAGAGTGTCAGTGTCTCTGCCAATGATATTTTCCCTTATTCTAGATAATTGGTATTAGAAGCTCTTTCACAAAAAAGAATGCATTCAGTGTTTTCTTGGAAATTGTAATGGTTATGATTAATTGGTAACAGGATTTAATTGTGTCATCCAATTTGGTCGCAGTCATACTCGTGATTAACAAATCGGACTTTCACTACATGGTTGTCCAATTTTGTCTATAAATCACTCATACAATTACAAACCTAATTGGACTCCAATCAGTCCTGTTACCATTATATAAGATAATATTACAGCAGGCTGACAGAAGTACATTTTGTATGTAGGCGGCACAGGTCAAATTGATTGGTTGTATTGTCTTGCATGCAGTACTTGGCAATTAATATTATTGACTGAATGAAGAGCTGCATTGATGTTGACTGAAGAGGACATAATAAAATAGTTTTAATGAGTCTTGTTACTCATCAATAATGCTACATCTGGCACTGTTTCACCTTTAACCCTTTAGGCCTAAGAGTGATCAGCATCAAATTTCTCCTTGTATTATCACTGCTTTATAAAAAAACAGTGGTCATGAGAATTAAAGATATGATCACACAAGATGATTCTAATTGATACTTCATCAAATTCTCCCCACTACTTCTATTGAAAACGTATAGGGATAACAAATGAGAATTTGAATTTTAATGTTAGGGTTCAAAGGGCTAACTTACCGTTTTTAGCATGCACACTTGTTCTTTAAGAGCTCCGCAACAGCCAAGAAACCCAATGATGGTCACAAAAACTCCAGCACCAATCAAAACATAGCATGCAGTGGAATAGTCATGACTAGAGAGCTTCATGTAGTCACTGAACTGTACACGTGCCCAGATTCCTACACCAAGGAGGCCAAGTCCAGTAAGCTGAGAACAAAACAAAGAGAATCTACATTATTGTAAGATTGTACCACTAACAATATAACATTATACTATATTTTACTACTACTCTTTCTCGGTATTACCATCTACTTACTTAGCTCATATAATAAGGGGAAGGGGGATAACTTTGTATTTATCTCATGAATCTGCATATTAATAGCACAACAAGCACACAGCAAACACACAGCGAGAGGTTGGAAACAGAGGTAAATTTTTTTATTACGAAATCATCACCACTAAAAGTGGTCAAAAGGGGGGCATTGGGATTTTCGGTTTTGGCTATTTTTTAGATCGGTTTTTCAGTTTTGGTGGTCATTGCGGTTTGCGGATTTTTCGTTTTTTAGCATCTGGTTTTCGGTTTTCGTGAATAATACTGGCGGTTTTTTGGTTTTGGTACCCGACGTGGTTTTTGGTTTTTCCTATTTTGTCCTATTTTGGGTTCCGGTTTCTGTTCGATTTGAGCAGCAGTTGGGGTCGAATAGCTGCGAAACGCCAAAGTTATTTAGAGGAATGCGTAACAAAATAAATGTTATGGTAGGGGATCAAGCGTCTCCATTGACGCCCGGCGAGACTTTGAACTCGCAGACCCCGGGGGGACACTTGGGTATTTTTTGGGTGGGTATGTGCCGCCCGGGACTCCAAATTGGCACCCCGTTCTAGAAAAAAATTCCCCTAAAATTGATACCCCGTTCTAAAAATGGGCCAATTTTTTATACCCAGTTCTAGTATTCGCCCTAAAACTGATACCCCGTTCTGGAAATGGGCCAATTTTTTATACTCCGTTGTTCCCATTTTTGGATATTTTAGCAACAAAAATCCCACAACAGTTTGGGAACTTGTTAATTCCCTGGTTGAACCGTCTCACTTTTAAAAGCAATTTTTCCTTGAGTACTTTCAAATGGCTGTTTACAAAAGTGGAACTTTGCTTGTTAACGCATTGAACCGCGTTTTTAAAAGGAATCTTTCCTTGAATTGAATTTTATACCCCATTCTAGAAAACGCCTCTGAAATGGATACCCCGTTCTAAATCAGGAGCTTCAAAATCACGACCCCTTTGGGCGGCACATACCCGTATAGGTAATGTATGGGAGTACCCCCCCGGGTCGCAGACCAGGGCGACCATTTGGTCATTTTGCGAGCGATCGCTTCCAACGTATCTCACGCGCCAGCAACAGAAGAAGCAATTGTGGATTGTGTTGCGTTTTTTTACGAGGAGGGGAAAGGCGGCGAGAATTTTCGAAAGAAAAACAAGTTTAGATGTAAAGTGAAAAGGGAAGAGAAAAGCCTGCAGAAGCTTAAGAATAGTGTTTGGTAAGTCAATCGACTATCTATTAAGCGGGCAGTAGAGGAAGTCCCAAAATTTATTTCCCTTATTTACTTTAAGTAAAACCTTTATTAAGCGGATACCTCTATTAAACAGACGCGGACACCTCAAAAGTACGTGAAATAGTCATTTCTATTGTTACCAACCTGTATTAAACGGACACTTGTAATCAAATTCCACTACCCAACATGCGAGACACCGGAAATGCGAAAGATTACCTCGAATTGCCACCCACAACTTTTTCGATTTTTACATTAAAAAACATTACTTGACGAACTTATTTGATTAGTTCCACAGTACAGTATTTTTTTCTATTTCGTTTTGTTTGTATAGAGCTTGTTTCACTCATCTGATTTCTTCAAATTTGAGTTGCAATCTATGTTTATGGTACTATGACCAATCGGTCCACTTTGATAAAGAAATTAATGCAAACGTATATCGCCAAAGTCTCTGGGAGTATTCTTAACATTTCCACTGTTCATGTGAATAACATTTGACATCTCATATGACTTTATCTATCGAAACCTGTATTAGGCAGACACCCTGTATTAAGCGGACGCTACAGCATTCCCCGAGGGTGTCCGCTTAATACAGGTTTCACTGTATTTACATTACAATAGCTTAATCACTATAGTTTATCCCATACATAAAGCTCGTTTACGAAGACTTAATGTCCCTAATAGTCCTAATACATTGAGAATACGCAGTATCTAAGCGTACAAGATCGAAGAGAGGTTAAGAGACTCTGTTCACAGGGTAATCAAACACGTTGCACGTTAGACAATCGAGTCTCCAAACTTTCAAAATGTTCGATTAGAGATTTTCGATTGAAGTTTCCAGAGCTATAGCTTTTTGCGACTGCAAAATTGCAATTCTAAAGAGGACTTGTGTGCAAATTCTCCTGTAACTAGCGGCTTTTCGGAAATTGAGCCGCAAAGTCTGGGCTCGAGAGAGCGGCAGAAACAAAGCCTATGATTTAAGCAGACACAAAAAGATACGAAGGCTTCAGACAAAGTCCATGACATTCACAAATACTTTGGTGAAATTAGTGTTAGTTTAGTTTGCTCTGTATGCCCCACTTGTCACCATTGTATCGGTTTTTGACGGTTTTGTATGCGGTTTTCGGTTTTGGCCGAATTTTTTTGCGGTTTTGGATGATTTTTTCCTTCGGTTTTGCGGTTTCTAATATACCCCAATGCCCCCCTCTTTCAACAGTGGCCTGTGACTTGGAAAAAAAATAAAACTCATGAGCAAATGTCTGACATCAACAGACAAACTGTAAATTTCCAAAGGCTTCTGCAAAGCTATTCAAATACCCCTAGTAAAACCTCAAATGACAGACTACTGACAAGCAATGGCCTAAGCCTAAATTTCAATTAGCCACATGTAATCTGGGCAGCTAGCCTGCAAGAGCAGATGCCTTTTTCAGCTCTTATTTTACAAGCCGGGAAAAGAGCATCTTCCATCCTGAGCTGGGAACTCCAGTGATTTCTGTGATGTCAGTGCTATGTTAGAACTGTTCTCAGCCAATAAAATTGAGTGACAGAAAGATGAGATTGACTTGTGAACTTGTAAGCACTGTTTAGAAGCTGCATTATACAGCCACAAGTAGTGAAAGGTCAGTGTGTGAACTGAAGCTGAAAAATTACGGTGGCCCACAACTGTCACGGTTCACCAATTACCTCAGGCCAAAAACATATACGCTACAGCAAAACATTCCTAATTATTGGGAATGCCTATTTCAATTTGGAGCGGCTCAGCCATTCTTCACACCTTGACCGGCTGGGAATTTAGACTGTGGAACAACTTTGGAATGGCTTTGATTCAGACGCCAAACTTTTCATATACAATGCAGACATACAAGAGTTCTGAAACTTCCAATGCCAGACTTTTTACCATTTTTCCAAACTAATATCTCTCTTTTCCAGACTTTGTTCAGGTCTGGAAAATTGCTTTGCAAATTTCAAGACTTTTTCAAGAATTTAAGGCTCTGCACAGACCCATGAGGTTTTGCTTTTGCCTTGAAGTATTTCATTTCTCTGTGAGTTTTTGTTTTTGCTTTGAGGTTTGTGGTTTTGCCGTGAGGTTTTTGGTTTTGCCATGAAGTATTTGCTTTTGCCGTGAAGAGAGGTATTTCCTATTGCTGTGACAGTTGCGGACCACTGTAGACAAAGGCGTCTGCTCTCACAGGCTACTGGACAGCAAACTGGCACTGCATGACTGCATCTACATGGAAAGCTATGTAGGTACATGCACAGTACAGTGTAAAATATAGAAACATCATCAGTGAATTGATATATTAATATTCTTTTATACAACACCTTTATTATTACAGATGTTGTATGAAGTATATACAAATACTATGCACTCTCCAATGCAATCAACCATCGTTTTGCATGTAAACAATCATAACGAAACTACTACAGTTTTTAGAAGAATAATTACAGTGCTATATATAACTTTTTATATTTGGGAGCGAAATGTACATACTTCTTCCTTTGAATGCCAAAAACTACACAAAATTAAAAGACCTTTTATTCACTGTAAAAATATTATAGATCATTTCAATTTACGTAGGGCTGATCAACAGAGCGACAAAACACATCCGGTTCATAGGATGAGTCATCATGCTGCCACGCTTTATATACTCGCATTTTCTAACCACGCAACCACTATTGTAGTTTATTTTCTTGACAGATTACAAAGTTAAATGAGTTAAAGTAAAATGACTTTATTTCAAGTAAAACTGTAAATTTTGTAGTCCCTAAGCTACGCAACAATTTTAAATACAAGAACAGCTGAAATCACTTAGTTCGCTAGCGTGTTTAGACAGAGCTTAGACCTTCGTAACAAGCGAAATCAAACTAGAAGTGTACCGCAGACACAGACAAGCAAAGCACTTCATGTTGACTTAAAGTTAAAGCCCGTCGGTTGACTTAATTAATGAAAGCTTACCCAAAACAGTGCGTTGAACGCAAACAAGATGAAACGGACACACTGCATGCAGGGTCCAAGCTTGTTTTCCGCCATCGTGTTCAATCCTTTCTATACGCTACTTGTTGTAACTGACGTATTGAAGTCGCTTAGATTGGGCTTTCGTCCTGAAAGTTTAAAATACAGACACAGATATTCGCCTGAATGGATTGCAGATAACAGCCGTCGGTTTTCTTGAGATCGATATTACGTACGATTTCAGAGTGAGTGAGACTACTGGACCGCCGTCGACTGGGACTGGGCTAACCTAAGAAGCGGAGGGGTCGGGAGGGTGCGTATGGAAACATTTTCCTCACTTGTGCGACTTCTTCATCAAACACTTTTAAAAAATAATCAATAATAAGAACAATCATCATCATCATCATCATCATCATCATCATCATTTATGTTATTATTATCATTATAGTTATAATAATGATGATGATGATGATGATGATCATAATGGCAATAACCAATAAAAATATAAACTCATACTGAGTAAACCAACCAAATAAAAGCAGTGTGGAATGGAAGATCAAATAAGTCTATTCTACCTTCCCATGATATCATTAAATGAATGATTCTTTGCTTAGTATCATTTATGCAAATCAAAGGAAATTTTTACGGGCATTTGAAATTCAGCTTCTCATTTGTTGTTCTCATTCGTTTCCAATAGAATTAGGGAAAGAAGTTGTTTATTTTTTATTAGATTCACCCTGTGATCATGTCCTTACGGGCCCATGTACAAGGAGGTGGGACCCCAGGTAGGTGAGGTAACCCGCCTGTCCATAAAATCTCTATTTTATTTGATCACGTTTACATGATGGGTGGGGTGACCGGCCACATGTTACCTCACCTATCTGGCGTCCCCCACCTCCATGTAAACAGGTCTTAATTCGCTGAGTTACAAAATGGGAAAAAAAACAATTATTAACATATATATTACATTTACTGGCAGTGTGAAAGTCAAGACCAGAGCAAAACAAGACAAGGGTGGTTTAGTTTCATTCTTTCTCTTTCATTGCCTAGGGACCAAAAGGGTAAAGTTTGACAAGTCACTGAAACAGCAATATGAATCTACCACAAATGACCAATACTTCACTCTCAATTACAACAGAATACAATATTCAAACACTTGGGAGGCTCTTTGATGATACTAAAACTTAAAACTCCAGGCACTTATTGACTCTATTAGAAATAAATCTCCTGTCAGTACTTTTCCTTGACAACGCATACTACATAAAAGTAATAGAATGCCAACAATCTCTTATTTTTCATAACACATGTAGTGAAACCAGAGTTAAGTTGCCTGAAATGCTGAGTCATGTTGTTCAATAAAGAGTGTGTTTAGTATGTCTTGTTCTTTAGACCATCATCAGATGAAGCAAGAGTACTGTTAAGTGATGATGAGATAAAACAAGTGGCAAAAACGAGTAATATATCTCGCTCTTTAACCCTTTATGAATAATGAAACAAGCGCGATAAAAGAGTAATATATCTCGTTCTTTAAAGTGCTTGAAGCCATTGTGAAAATGTGTCATCAATGCACAATTTTGATGTTTTCAACTGACATTTTGTAATGCATGTGAACATCTTTTAATATGAGTTCTTGAACTCGTCTTCACCAAGCCAGGCTGCTATGCTTCTTCTAGAGTTTTAAAATCCTTCGTTGCTGATGATTATTTTAATGGCGGCAAATAACTTTTCATCAAAATAGTCTTACGATAGGGGGAGAGGTCGCTTCCTGTTATTTTCCTGAATTTTCCAACTGAGTGGCTCGTAAGTTAAGTGACGTCACGGGGTGGATGACTTCGACGACATTGCGTCTTTATCCTTCCCTGTTTTTTCAGCTACTGGAGTAAAAGGCAGAATATAAGGGCCTGCTAGACCAATTATTATTCCAACAACTCCCAAAGTTATTCTTGTTCTTCGTGGTAACCGTTTGTAGCTTTCCAAAAACCCCATTCCGACTTTATCGCTCTCAATAATGAGCCTGCGTATGGCTTGGTCAGCAACTTTTCAGTAGATTATGCGCATAAGCACACCTCGCGGAGAAATAAGTTTTTTCCATGGCAGAACTTTAGTTGCCGGTGACTTGAATATTTGTTCGCTTCTCCTTGCTTTTAAAGTCAAACAAACTGTTCATTACATAAGCAACAGAAATGTCCACGAAAGCAGTAGACTCGAGACAAAGGTACTATAAAAACAAGGATAAGGATCTATCGGTGAGTTATGTCTTTATGTTGCAGTGTGGATGGCGGGGTAATTTGAATGTTATCTGTTGGCATGCATGCGTTGTGCGGCATGTGATTTCTCGATTCTCGATTACTGGTACTGCTACTTGAGGAGTCAGACTGTTGATTTGTGAAACAGCTGGAAGGGAAGTGGTGTCTTTAAAATTGGAAAAAGTCAATAAATCACCAGATTTTAGGCTTTTGAAATGCATGACAAGTTTTTCTCGGATCCGTGCAGTTCTCAAGACGTCCAAACTTGAAAAACCGAATTGTAGCGTTTACTTCGCTGGAAATATACTTTAAATTGTAGAATTATATCAGAAGCTTGAGAGAAATATTAACTGGCAAATTTTCATTTCAAGGACTGCTTTAATTTATAAACAGTCACTTGCTAAAAGGACACGAGCCAACTAGTTGTACTTTCCTCGCCGATCCATCAAAATGGTTGATGCCGTGAAAAAAGAAAAAACCTTATGTAAGAGTATTTCTCAATTCTCCTGGAAATGGCTTGTGATGTTAGTGGTATCGTGGTAAAAAAGGCTAGCACAGTCTTCAAGTAAGCCAATGAAACTTCGTTTGGATGCAATTTATTCAAGAAAATCCAGCTATGCATTCAGAGGCTTTGTTACCCTGTTATGTTTTGTAGTCCATGGTCTGAGTCTTGCCAATGAATGAAAATGTGTAAAATTGTGAAATTTGACATTTACATGTATGTACCATAGCCGACAATCCCACAGTTGCCAATTAAAATAATGACTATGATAATATTACACAATAAATGTTGCAAAAAATAATTGCCCAAGGGGCTGCTTCTGCTGGAGTCTGTAGTTTTATAGTGCCAAAGTCACTACCTAAGAATTTGTATGTGTTCTGATTAAAATTAAGTGTTGAATAGCGAGTTGAATTATAGTTGAATAATGCTACTGCATCAAAAGTCGAGTCCTGGGACCAGTTACATAAAGGTCGGAGCAAACTAGGTGACAAGACGTATCAATATGTCGTGGTCATGCATATGTGTGTAGCAGCGACAAATGGCTTAGTGTGTACTGGAGAATTTTTGTCAAACTGTTTGTCTTGGCAACAGAATTTTGTCGCTCCAGCAAGTGTCTCAAAATCAAATCAGATTGAATTTCTGTGACTTGTTTCAGCAAGAAAATTCTGTTGCAGACGCAAAGTTTTTCACAAACATTGTCCTGTACACCAAGTGATTTTTTGCTGTGATGTGTCTAGCAACTTGTTGCCCGACCTGTGCAGAAAAAGTGATTTGTTGCTGCAATGTCTTGTATCAACATGTCACCTAGTGTGTTCTAACCTTAAATCATAACATCAGTCATAATCAGCAGTGGACCTTGCATATGTTAGCTAGTCTAAGTGGTAAGAGGTTGTTTCACCCGAACGTTGATTCACCTAAAGTCAGGTTGCCCTGGTGTAAGTTGATGCTTTCATATTATTTATTTGTTGGTCTTTTAAACCTGTTAACAGATGGACTAAGAGTGAAAGGACAGTGAATGCACATATGGGTCAACAGCCTGCTCCAGTGTAAACTTCACACATAATATCTCAAAAATCGGCATAGCAATCGTTGCTATGGCTGAGTTACATGTCAACTTCAGTATTATATACACATTCATTCAGTATATCAAATTTGGTCACTAAGACTGTTCAGATCAATGGACCTTTCTTAGAAACTGGGAAAGGAAAGCAAGCTTAACTGAACTCAAAGATGTCTCTTGTGAACTGTTTTGTGGTCTGTAGAGTGTTGTTTGTCACCATTTTGACATGATAAATTTTGATTTCCAGGAACTAAGGAGGAGAAGAAATGAAGTCACTGTTGAGCTTAGAAAGGTTTGAAGGCTTGAGTGTTTTTGGAATTAAAATTATTATTTGAAGGGATTATGTTTTATCATTGGTGCATCAAATTACTGCGCATGTACATGTCTTAAGTCCCTTGTTCTTTCTTTTTGTTTTATACTAGGCCAAAAGAGAGGACACTGTCCAAAAGAAAAGAAATGTCCCTCAAGACATTGTGGATGAAAAAGATGACAGTTTACAGGTAAGACTTTGTTAACAAGTCAACAAGCATCATCTAGCCATTTCCTCCTTCCAGATGTCTTTGTGTATTAGTGTCATACAAGTTGCATAAACTTTCTACATCACCCTTCATATGGCTGCTATGCAAGTAGCTGTAATTGATGTATAATAAGCTGTCTTTATTTTAGTATTTTTAAGTGGAACCATTTCTTTTGATAATTCTACATCAGAGTCTTGCTCCTTTCTCCTTCCTGTTGTTGTCTTACATGTATGTTTGTCTTTATGTTGTTTTACTTCACAGGGAAAGAACCTTCAGAGTATTGTCTTGGTAAGTGAACAAAATTCACACCTGAGCAATTTGAACTGTATTTTTAAACAGGACCTACAACTTTACTCGAACCCACTCTTGATGCTTAAATTACCCTTATCTCGTGTGTGGAACTGTATCATTTCTGCAAATATTTACTGCTAGTGATCAATGCCATCACTTCTTAAATTGACTTTGACTGACAACTTGTACAGGTTGAAAACATCTTCCAAAGCATGTCCAAGTAAAAGCAATTTTGCCCAACACTCCAGAGATGCATGTACAGTGGAACAGCCTGTTCCAGGTGTTCAGAAAATGTGGTTGCACTTTTGTTTATATTTTTTAAAAAGGTTGCTCTTCATTTTTCTGTATTTCTAAAGACTGAGGAGAGCTGGGAAAATAAAAAGACACGGAAAAAATGAATCTGAATGGGAACTGGAAAAATAAAAGGAAGTAGCAGAAATGAATCTGAAGCTTCTTCTACTTTGCAACCACAGTATGCAAACAAACTGCCAGGTTGGATGATGACAAGTATCCACAAACAACTGAACACCTGGAGAAAAGCCGTTAAGAGACTTTTGTCAAACCCGCTGGATTCTCATTTCAGTTTGTCTTGTATACAGGGTTTCTGATATTTCGCGCAGTCGCGGACCCGCGAAATCCCGCGAAATTCCCAAAAAAACGCGAAATACCGCGAAATCCGCCAGAAATATTTCCAAATACATGTCAGCAAAACATATTTAATACTTATCTTGGTTTTTAGACCTGTTTTATTCACCCCAAACGTCCAAATTTATCTTGAAACTGCAACACGTAAACAACGTCCCAAAACTACCAGGCATTCTTAGATTAATGTTGCGAAAAACTGGGCACTAACCATAATGATAATAGCTTTAGCATTCGGTCATTTCTCGAGCGAACTGTTGTTGAAAGAGCAAATGATTATCCCTGTTAAAAAAAAGTTAAACAACGCTGCTCATATCGACGCAAAATTGATCGATTTTAGCGAAATTTGCCAAAAAAAATCCGGCGAAATCGACTGTTTTTTACTGATTGTTTCTTGGCGAAGTTTCCCCGAAATTTCCCGTGAAATCGGCCGATTTTTCTAAGAACTTGCCCCTGAAAATCCTTCAAAATTTGACTTTTTTCTGCTAAAATCCCGCGAAATTGGCCAATTTTTCTGCGAATTTTGACTTTCTCCCGTAAATATCCCGCGAAATCGGCCGATTTTTCCGCGAATTTTGACTTTTTTCCCGCGAAAATCCCGCGAAATCAGCCAATTTTTCCACGAATTTGCCCTTGAAAATCCCGTGAAATTTTTCTTTTTTTTTCCGCAAAATATCAGAAGCCCTGTGTGTATATGCTAGTTAAACAAGCAAGAATTTGACATTAGATCAGCAGTCATTTGAGTCCTTCTTTCACGCATTCTTTCAATGTTAATTTACATGTACCATCATTGATCTGTGTGCAGTGGTAGTGTAACTGTGCTCTTTTTCACTCCTGTAGAATGCAAGCAGCCAAGATCCAACAGAGCAGCTTGGTGCTGTACAAGCAGCCAGGTCAGTCATAGAATTCTGGTCTCCTGATTTCTTGTGGAGAATATCACTGAGCTGTAGAAGCTCAAGTGTGGTGTTCTTGTATACCAAAGTTAGTAGCTGAGACCTTAGTGTATGTGTAGGTGGACGAGTTACCCATGGTTAATGAGGTATTCTACTCCTAATTTTGTGATACTATTTAGCATTTCAATGCTCTTTTTCTTTCTTATGCAGTTAGAATAATATTATGTCTTTGTAAAAGCAAGTCTATGATTATTATGTTTTCCTATCTTGTGAGACAATAACGGAAGTCAAAACATGCTTGTTTATACTAGAGTAGAATTTTGTACCCAGTAATGTTCTGGTTGCTGTATGTGGCCAACTTCATCTGCATTGTGTTTGCTTTTCTTTTCGTTTCACCTGACACTCTTTATTGCTTATGCTGTAGTTCTGTACTTTATATTTTATTTTCCAGAAAACTGCTCTCAAAAGATCGTAATCCACCTATTGATGAGCTAATTGAGTAAGTATAACAACTTTCAAGTTTACCAGACTTTAGAAAATAAGAACTTGTTTCAAATTTTAGGCTAAACAAGTTCCTGTATAGATGGGTTTAACTGGCAAATTTAAACCCAAAAAGTTCTTAAAAACCAGGTTCTTAGTCACAGGTTTTCACTGTGTATTGCTGTTTTTTGTAGGTCGGGCATACTTCCAGTGCTTGTGAAATGCTTGGAAAGAGACGACAAGTGAGTAAAAATTACCAAGAGACTGTTACATGTAAACTCATCAAGATGAGGTTGCATTTCAGTGCCCTAGTGGAAGCACATAAGAGTCAAACACAACATATCCAGGGCAACCAGTGAGCACCAGTGGCACTGTCACACTGACCAAATAGATCAGTGGAATATGAACATATATAATACAGTCATACCTTTCTGAAAGTGAGGGAGGGATGGGGAAAAAATTAGCAAAAGCAGCTTTGACTCAAAACACACCTAATTGCACAGTGAATCTCAGCAACTTGAGTGAGCCATCTCAATCGAAACCGCCTTGCAGCCTTGTTTCAGGTTGAACGCATTCACCCCTGGAAAATTTGCGGAAAAACAGTTTTGAAGCTAGTCGAGTGGTTTTCTGGTCACTGTTGTGCTATAAAGACCTAAAACTCATCACAAAGCTATTTACAGGTCGTATACTTCATGGCCTTCTGATTCAGATGGCCAAACTATTCGCTTGCAAAGTTCAGGCATGCACAGGAAGCAAAATTTTTGGGTTTAAAAGTGACACAGCAGTCTTGACTTTTACTTTTTGCTCTCTCTCCTCCCCTTGTTTTTCACTTTTCTCACCTCATTTTGTTTCTCTTTTGCTGGGGATTTAGTAGGCTTCATTTTGGTGGGAAAAGTTTTTGCAAAGGCTTTTAGGATCTTTAATATGATCAGAGGAAAGGCAAGGTTGGTCGGTAGTGGAACAAGATTTTCATGGAAATTTTCAGGTCAATGTTTCATGGTTTCATGGTGCCCTTGACTGAACCATGCTCATTCTGGTATGGTTTGAAAGATCTCTTCTCTCTGCACAAGTTAACGGACAAAGTTGTCCTTGAACAATAAAACTGATTTCAGCACAAGTGGAAGAAGGGACGTGGATCCGCATGTGCAGTTACGGGCTGTTCAGGAACCAATGGGTTAACTTCGCCTAAATTACCCTTAGCCACATTTGATATTAGGAGGTACATGATGTCGTAGTTGAAAAAATATATTATTATTAATTTGTCATCTGATATCACTTGCTTTGTTACTCTCTTTTTTTTTACAGTCCCTCTCTTCAGTTCGAAGCAGCATGGGCATTAACAAACATTGCATCTGGTACCTCGGAGCAAACAAACGCTGTCGTCAAGGCTGGTAGGCAGGATCAAATCTCAGTTTTTAAAGAATTTTATTTTGGGTGATCTCTTCTCTGTGTCCTTGTCAGGGAGGGCAGGGCAGGTGTCAGACCTCAGAACCTTTGCCCTTTTTAGAGATGTAGCATGACCCCTGGGCTGTTAAATTTTTTTCCCTCATCATGACAAAAGTTTGACAAGGTTATTTACCCTCTTTCTCCTTATCCATTTGAAGTTTTTGTGATACTGTGAACAGACATGGTTAGTTTGCAGATTGCCAGACTGATCATGATTTGTCGCAAACAGTCTTACCTTCCATGACAATGTTCTGTTTCGAATAACTATCATATCATATCATATCATATCAACTTTGTACATGTATCGTGTGATTTAAAAGCTAAATGATATTTTGGAACAAAAGCACTGTGTACATGTATCTTCAGAGTTAGATTTCTTTTATCTAACCCTTCGCAAAATTTATACTGGGACATAAACTGCTTCAAGTAACAACTAATGTTCACAAAAGTAATATTATTATTATTGAGGTTTTTCCGTATAGTGAGATCTGTTTGCATAAATTTTGTCTCTTAAAAAGGTTATAGAAAAAAAATGTCCTTGACCCAGTAAATCAGGGTTTCGTTTTCACACTTCTATGTGATTAAACCACATTAAATTGATGTTATATTTGTTTGTAGATGCTGTCAAGCATTTTATGAAGTTACTGCAATCACCTCATCAGAATGTCTGTGAACAAGCTGTCTGGGCTCTGGGGAACATAATTGGTAAGAATTTATCTGTGCTAAGTTGTACTGTAACTCCCAGGCTTCTTAATGACTGCTGCCAGGTAAACGGCAATGACATTTACCATAGGAAGTTTTGTATAACGTACACCTAATGTTTAGTGCTTGAAATCGGGGGTCAGCTTTGTGTAAGATCATATGCTTCAGATGGTACAAACTGCCTGGTTTTGGTTCAGAAACATAAAAATGACCATTTAAGCATTTTACATTTTTTGTGTAAACATTCTGAAATTTAATATACCAAAAAATGTTTTAAAACTCTGCATGCTAATACTTAACAGTATCATATGTAAAATGTGTTCATCCAGAAAATACTGTATCCGTACTTCCACACAAAGGGTTGGACTATGTTTGAATCACTTTCCACCCAAAATGTACAATATAAAGGTGTCTCGTTCATGTTCCCAGTGAAAATGGGAAACACGCAAATTGCAAGTAGCAATCAGAGAGTAAGCTACTTGCTTTTTACGTTAATATACAGCAGTGGAAGTTTCCAACGTTCAACAATGCAAATAGCCATCTCTGTCAAGAAAGATTGTTTAGAACCAGAAATTAATTTATCAAGCATGGCAACGTGACATCACATTTTTCCTCTCTATGAAGTCTGGAAAATTTTGTTGAAGATTGACTTTGTTCTTTCACTATAGGTGATGGTCCTGGGCTAAGAGATTTTGTCATTCGTCATGGTGTGGTGGGACCATTGCTTAAGTTTGTCAATCCTAATGTTCCTGTAAGTATCTCTCTTTTTGGGGCCTTGTGATTATGGTCAGCCAAGTGCTTACATGTATACAGTATTTCCTCAAATATGCGGGGTGTTTTATAATCCCATTAAATTAAAAAAATTATCACATGAAATAAACTGTACATGGGCTTTTTAAGCGTTCCAAATTTGGTTCCCTTATTGATTTTCAGAGCTTGAATCTTCACTGATCAGTTTTGCTGGATTAGATTCCACTTCAACTTGAGAGGGAGGGGATAAAAGAAAGCAAAGATGATGGAAGGGGTTAGGGGGGGGGGGCATTGTTCGAGAAAGTCCTTTTTATTAAAATATTTCCTTCAAAGGGGGGTGATTATTCGAGTGAAGCGATTAATTGAGGGACGGCTATTATTCAATGAAAATCGATATATTTGGTCATGATTTACACCATGTAAGTGTTTATTTTATTATAATTGTGACTGTTCATCTATTTCTCATTGAACTGTACAGTAATAAACAAAAGCAAAAATCATTGCGATGATTTCCTATACATTCACAGTGTTCTCACCAGGCCGCGGCCTTGCGGGATTCCCGCAAGAAAAACTGAAATGGCGCATTAAAACCAAGAAGATGCGCCCGTTAGGGCGCAGGGGCAATTGTTTGAATAAATAAAAGACATATCAAATGAGTCAAAGTCTTTCATTTTGTTGCCTTTACTTTCATTGCTCCCACGCACGTCCCACTACATCGTAAACTCCTCCTCCGAATCGTAAACACCTCTTCCGCCATATTGGATCAGGTAGGTACTTCATGTAACAGACAATTTGGAGTGCGGGCTCAGGTTCTTCGTACCGCGTGTTTTTTGTAACTTTGTCCCCCTAATGTTCTTACAGGGCCCCTATTTCTCAGAAGAGGGGGCCCTGGGACTCTCCAAGGCAAAATCCTGGTGAGAACACTGCATTCACATGTCTGAAATGAAAGGAGTTGGGAAATTCTTTAATTTGGGGGGTTATGATTCCACTGACAGTACTCTCAAGCTACAATGAGTGATACTTTGATTTTAACAATGCGATGGTGGAGGTTATGATGCCTCAAATGGTTTCATAAAGCCTTTAAAAACCAGGGTTATGATTCCTGTGCCTGACAAAATGATGTGATGACTTGGTGAAGCCTGGGCAAACCAAGGTTATGATTCCTCAAGCACATAAAATCATTACTGAAATTACAATTGGTTATTTGACTATGCCTTTTCCTGTGTGTACAGATAAGCTTCTTGAGAAATGTGACGTGGGTGATAGTAAATCTGTGTAGAAATAAAGAGCCTCCTCCACCTATGGCAACCATTCAAGAGGTGAGTTAAACAGCAGGCTTTGCAGGGTTCTCCAGATTCTCCAGGAATCAGTGAATCGTCACAGAAGATAACTCTTTTAAGAGTGATAATAATATTATATCGGTCGTATTGGTTTGCAACACCTTGTTGGATGAAAGCAAACATCATATTATGAAATAAAGCAAATATAGGTAAATAAACGTGCTTTCCTTATGGCTAGAATTCTTTCCCTGGTCACTCAACATGCTCTAAAATTCACTTTTTGGTGCCCCCAGAATTTAAAATTTTCTCCAGGAAAGCTAGACCCCCCAATAGAGTTGGTGGTGGACGGTGGGGAGGGGAGGGTGATTCACCCCTCAAACCCTGTCTTAGAAAGTTACACGGTTCCTAATAAAGCCATTTACAATAATAGTGATGTTACTTCCTAAGACTGTATGTAAACAAATGGTCCCAGTAAGTAAGAGTTTCAAGTTACAGAAGGGTCAAGTTACTGCTTTTATATTTATAAAATAGAACTTTGCTACACAGTGAGGGTGTCAAACAGGGTTGTGTCCAAAAACTGTGTTAATCACTAAAAACCTTGCATTTGTGAATTTTATTAGTGCCGTTCGAATGACCTGTTATTGGGTTAAAGATATTTCCTTACTGTTCTTGTTTTTGTACACCTGTAGGTCCTTCCAGCACTCGCTCTTCTTATTCACCACCAAGATCTAAATGTATGTAAACACTCCTGAATGTTATGATGATGTTTGGCATGTGCATATAGTCAAACCTGTAATAAGTGGTCACTCTTGGAGAATGGCTTACTCAATTGCGGTCGTTTTGCCTGACGGGGTTTGCCACACCCTAAATTTTAATAATATCCACAAATTCTTTAATAGTTATCCGAAAGAAGGTGCAATATTTCAAAACCCCATACACGTATGACTTGCATCCAAAAATTTCACTTATTTTTATTACATACTTCTAATATTTTCACATGACTAAAATTTACAAAAAAATGCCCAAATTAGCCTCCGGTACCACCTTAAGTCGATTCGCCCAGTTACATACAACACTCTACAACATGGTGAACATACTTCTTTGAGATGTTGTTTTAGTTATCCTTGGATTCAACATGTGCAGTCACTGTCTTTCCATCCTTATTCATTTTTTAAAGGCTTAAAGAACGACAAATACCCATCGGGCGAATCAACTTAATGTGCAAACTGCTATCAGGCGAATCAACCTGTGGGGGAAACGACCTGATACCGGCTGACTGACAAACTTAAGAACTACTCAAGAAAATGAGGATGATGAAAGAGCGAAATATCTATTGCACGACAAATTGATCTCAAAGTGTTTCTTCCTCTTCTTGTGCCAAAAGAAAGGAAGTAAGAGACCACCAAACGCCATGCACTGACAGTGTATCTGTTGGACTAGTATGGTGCATCTTGTTAAAGTGCCAGTTTAATAGAGATGAAGACAGTAAAAAATTATTTGTTGGGACCTCGGAAAATGTGACCGTGACTGCTTAATACAGGTCGCTTTTACAGTAATTAAGGGAAATGATTTCTGGGACTTCAGCAAGTGGGCTCTTTTACAGATAGTCTTGTTTAGTGCTAAAACCTGCAAATGAAAAAGGCCGTTTTTGATACAATTATAACAGGTTCGTTTTTAATAGGTTTCAGTAATTCCATTCTGGAAATACTCTGGTGCACTAATGAAACTCAAAATTTTGTAACATCCTTTTTCAGATTTTAGTTGACACAGTGTGGGCATTGTCTTACTTGACTGATGGGGGTAATAATCAAATTCAGGTATGCTTTTAGCGGTGTTACTTTTAGTTTTAGTTTTTCGCGTTCGTCGGAACGCATCCTAATCTTGGTGTTCCTGTTGTACGAGGCCACAAATTTTCGAGGTACCGCGGGTGACTGCCGATAAGCCGCTCCTATCAGGGGTGTCTCTGCCGGGAAACTGGACTCCTTTGGACTCGATTTCGTTTCCGTAAGAGACGAACGTGGATCCGTAATCAATGATTACATCTACTAACTATGCCTCTAATTTTAGGAATTAAAGGGCTGTGTCACGCCTGTCTAGTTTATGTTGTTAAGATTGCCAATTACGCTTACTTGTGCACTATAAAATCCAGCGTTAAAGAAGAAATTACCGTCGGTTGCATCTAAGCGTGGACGCGAGACAAAAAACATGTTCTAATAGGGGGCCATACATTACATGTTTTGTGGGCAAACATTTGAAGTCTTGACAGCTGTTAAAGCAAACTGTCGCGCCAAAGGTAAGTTGTTTACACGTTTTTGATCAGCACGTCCAGCCCCTATTTCATTTTTCTCAACTTTCAGGCACATTTTTTCGCTCAGAAACAGAACGCTTGCCTCCAGAAATTATTCTTAACGTCTAAAAATTCTTACAAAGAATATTTTGTTGAAGGAAAACAAATCAAGTCGACAACAGCCGCCTACTCCAAACTTGGAATGTTTGGCGCCAAAACATGTCATGTTTGCACCCAATTAGAACATGTTTTTTTCCTCTCGTGTACGCGCTTAAATGCAACCGAGGGTAGTTGTAAATGATAAAATCACAGCTTCTTGTACTTCCCAAACATAGGTCTATCAAACGTTACAAACAACAAAATCGTTAGGCTTACAAGTTTTCAGAGACCCACAGTTTCAGTGCGTTTTAAACGTCTTCAAGTTTGTCCGTCCGTTCCTTCTTTTATATTCGCTGTGCTATGAATATCTTCTTTTAATGTTCTGAGCGATTATTTTTGTTTCACTCAATTTGTTGCAGTTCCCACTGTTAGAACTTAGGTAAAATTCGTGACGCAGCTCGTTTAAAACTTGGTCTAGTAATATTAAAATAGTAATATTGTTGCAGTTCCCACTGTTAGAACTTAGGTAAAATTCGTGACGCAGCTCGTTCAAAACTTGGTCTAGTAATATTAACTACATGTACACTTAGATCCAATTGCAAGACTATTTTTGTTTACAAGTGGATATTATTTTGCAGGTTGTTATTGAAAGTGGAGTGGTACCTCATCTTATACCCCTGCTAAGTCACGCTGAAATTAAACTGCAGGTAAATGATTTTGCTCAGATCTTGTTGGCTGAATGAGTCCAGCTAAAAATCATGTTGTTCGGGCTGTTCATTTAACTTAGCTCCTTCTAGCTTTTTGTGTCTGTAAGAGTGCTTCTTCCTAGACTGCAAGCAGTTGCACGAGGGTCATTTGCGTGTCTCGTGCGTTTTGCTCGACAGACCAAGAGAAAAGAGAGACTGCTGGTCGTCTAGCTTCTTCCCTCAACCACCATTGAATCCAGACTGGATTTCTCTGTTTCCTCCAAAATGGTCAGAGTTAAGTCTTTGCCCCTACTTTTCGTGTCCTGTAGTATAGTTTGAACACCAAGAGTCCAGGACTGGAAGAATTCCTTTGTACACGTGGAACATCGTGCCCAGTAGTCTGTCAAAAGGGTTTGGTGCACAAAATCCCAATCCTCGCTCCTGAATATTTAATTCTGTCTTAGTGGATTCCAGTCTTTGCCCCTACTTATTCACTTCCTCTACGGTTCAAATATCTGTTCACACTGTAGCAAAGTATGTCACAGAATCTATCTGATGGAGCGATTTTCGTATGACCTTCAAAAATGGTTTCAGTAAGTGTTCGTTGTTTGTTTTATAAGCCAATGGATGAAAAGATCAAAACATGGACTCTTCATTTTCCCGCCAAAGAAAACCCTAATATGGAGAAGGCATTGTTCGATTAGCCAATCTTGTTGCAGTATGACGTCAAAGCGAGGTATCAGTTGATTTCTAGAAAGTTCTTCGGGCATGAAGTTTTTTCACCCAAGCGTTCGCTTAACCAACCAAAAGCCACGTGCGTTTGTATCCGTTCGACAAACCAATCAAATCCCTCTATTTCTGTTTTGTTTGTGCGTTTTCATTTCAAGGTCATACGAAAATCGCTCTATGTGACTCCTCTCTTTCGAAATCGGTGCAGCGTAGCATCATACCTCTATATAAATTGCTTCTAAATCACATATGTGAACAGACGCCCAATCCGGTATGGTTTGGGCATAACCTTACAAAAGGCCGTGCCATTTTCAATGGTTAAAATTTCAAAAAGTTTTGGGGATCAGCACGATGTACCCTAGTGAAAGCTAACACCTCTGTCCTTTTATCTTTTAAAAACTGTCACTTTTTTTCCTGAATTTGTCCAGCACACCTTGACCCCACCCTGTTTGTTTCTGTACACAGAAAATAGGGAATTTAAGATCCGAGGACACGACGGCAGCGAAAACGTCGCTTAAAAAGTGAACTTGCTTTTTTTCAGTCTTCATCGCGACTATTCCTACCCACTTACTTTGTCAAATGTAGGTGAACCCCTCAGGAGTCAGTGAATTCCTAAGAACCATGTCCAAGTTTAAAATTTCGTCGACGGTTGTTTACGTCCTCCATAAACCGTTCAATTACGCATTTTTTAGTCGTCCAAAACGGCAACGAGATGTACAAAAAAAGCGTGATGCACGAGCAAAGTTGTTGTTTTGCTAATTAAACCTATTGCTCCTCTTGACGTTCTTGTTGCCGTCGCGTCGTCGGATCTTAAAGTCCCTAATTAACCTGCCTGGCAGACGTTAATATAGGAAGGGGAAGGAAGAATTCGGGCATACGAGGAGGAGTTTCCTTTTTCCCTCTCCCCGCAGGCCTCTCGCGCTCTCGCGCGCTCAAATTCCCCTGCCCCGCCCCCGCCCCCTTTCCCATTCAACACCTGCCACGCGGGCTAATTGAAAATGGACGTTACAGTTCGCTGGCTGGAGTGAGTCTGGAGTCATTTGGGGGGAAAAGTGCGTTGAATTGCAATGAATCTTTGATTTGTAAGGTTTTTACTTTTTACATGTTTTTACTTGTTTTACAGACAGCAGCTCTTCGAGCAGTTGGTAACATTGTCACTGGAACAGACGAACAGACACAAGTAAGCAAAGCCCATGTTACATTGTAACTAACTAAGTTGACTACAATAGTGCGTAAATTATTTTAGCGCTGGCGGCTCTGCGCCAACATTTTCTCCGAACTTACATGTGTGACATCTCTTAATATTCTAAATTTCATTTTGTAAAATCATAGCAGAAAGGTGTTGAAGTTTGTAAATTAAACAATGTACAGGGTAGTGAGTAGCTGGTCTTCACGTGGTAGTGTAGTCACCCAAAATCGACACTAATAATGTAGAAATGTGATTTTAGGGTCTTTCTTGGGGGGCTGGGGGGGTGGGGGGTATTAAAGGTGTTAAGGAAGAATGACAGTTGCCAGCATTTCTATACAAAAATATAATATAATTGAAATTATTTCATTTAGTTTGGTTTGTTTATGTTTTTGGTTTGTTGCCTCTTTGTATTGTTTTCAGGTTGTGTTGGATCATGGGGCCCTTCGTCACTTTCCAGCGTTACTTAATCACCATAAAGAGAAAGTTAAAAAGGTCAGCTTTCAAAAACTGTCCTCGTATACTTGTACTTTGTTACCATGATCACGGAAAAGTCAGGAAATTTTGTTGTTCTTATTAGTGACAACCTTGTTGAAGGCAAGAAATGTACGTATTTGTTGTTTTAAAAAGCGCAAGAGCTACGTGCAAACGGACGGAATTACTCGCAACATCGTTGGCCCAACAATGTTGGAAGTTGTTGCGTCCGTGTTGGTAGTGGTGGGCAAACGGATCCAACAACTCCCAGCAATGTTGGGACCTGCGGTGCATCGTGGGAAGGATACAACCCAGAAGACTTTGGAGACCATGTGTAACGCGGGTTCGTGGCCCCAACAATGTTGGAAAAGCTGTGCAAACGAATCCAATATTGTTGTGCTACGCTTGGTGATCACGGAACAAAAGAAATTTTGGAAGTTGTTGGTTCAATAGGTCGACCGGTTTCAACAACTCCCAACACGCAACAACATACAACAGGGTGTGCAAACGGACGCATTTGCAACATTCAACAATGGGGGTTGTTGGCCAACAGTGTCCTTATTTTACGTTAGTATCTCAAAATATTTATCGTCTAATGAACAAACTTGAGGCCGATGGTGTACTCATTTAACTCCCCCGTCCCCCACCCCAACCCCCTCTCTCTCCAGGTACGTAAAGCTAAATGGAAAGAAAAAAGTCGAAACAAGGATTTTACATTAGTTTGTGTGTGTGTGTGTTTTTTTTTCTGTGTGTCACAGGAAGCAGTTTGGTTTCTATCAAACATCACCGCTGGCAATCAGGCTCAAGTACAGGTAAAAATCAGCCAAGTTTGTCTCTCTCCTTGTTTTGCTCGTTCAGGATGAGACGGGACGTAAAATAAACCATTCCGACTTTCGAAAGGAAAAGGGTTATAGACCCTGGTGGTCTGGACTGCTTTAGCTTGTGTCCTATGTTGCTCGCGGAAAATATACATCAAAGGTTATTTTCCTTCAAAATGATTAAAGTAGTCGTCTGCAAGCAGGCTGGGTCATGTTTCAAGTCAAGGAGCGTTTTTGCCAGGTTTGGCCCAGCTCAAAAAATGAATAAATAAATACATTTTGTATCAAGTTTTCATTTTGTTCAAACAGAAGAAAGATACATGTAGGAAACGCAACATTTTCCATGGTTTCATTGGTTTATTTGATATCGTTGTTAGAAAAATTCCCATTTCAAGGACCATCAATGAAATGTTTCTTTTAACCCCGTTTGTATCATCTACCAATGAATAAGGTAAAGTAAAACTTGATTTTAACAGAGTGGCCCATTCACCTCAACGGCTGGTCCACATCTGGGGTCCTGAAAGATGAGTGAATGAATCATTAAATTAATGGTCTTTTTTTCTTTTGCAGGAAATCATCGATGCTGGCCTTGTTCCACTTATTATTCAGACTTTAGAAAATGTAAGTACTTTTTTGTGTGATAGTGAGTCACTGTGGTAGCTAACACTACAGCTTTCGCTGCATCATACATAAGCTCCTTTAGAAATTGCTTCTGCGGTAGCTCACTGTCAGTCAATTGTGTAGAAATGTAGTATAGTTCTCTAACTTTGAGTCTGTGGATGAAGTACTCAAATGAAACCTCTTCAGTTGTACTTTCAAATGGTGCTATTTTATAGTGTGTAGTTCTAACTTTGAGTGGGTGCATGAACCCTCTGTTTTGACTATTCAAATCGAATGTCCCGTTTATTATTTAGCTGCCTGTGCCAACAGGCAACGCCCAATCAAGAAATGAGTTTTATCGTTGTTGAAGAAAGACAAAATGGCAGATGAATCTCCCGTAAGGCATTGCGTATCTCATTCCCCCTGCAGTGGGGCCGACTTTTCAGGGGAGGTGATGGGCCATCTCAGATAAAATATCTGGCGAACAGAACGGAAACAACACTCTTGCGTGGAGTTATAAGTCCTATACTTACACCGAAATAAAATAGGAATAAAATGTGACAACTTAGTCAGCCTAAAGTTGCCCTGCCACTGTAATTGTAATTGTAATTTGTTTACCCACAGAGCACTTAGCAGTTCCTAAGAACTCGTCGAAACGCGTCCGTGCGTTCCAGATCGAATTACAATTTGGAAGTGTTGGTTTTTAAGGAGAGGGGAAAGCCAGAGTACCCGGACAAAAGCCTCTGGGAGACATATGGCTTAGACGCCAAGAAAAGTTTAACTTGGCCATGTGTCAGACCTAACTAATGATGAAGGTGCCGCAGAAGAGTGGCGTTTAAGTCAGTTACGTTCGCTACTCTAGTTTGGTACGGCGCACGGCGTTTGTGTGCCGGCACACATTAGGCGTGACGTTTGAACTAGGCCTTAATCGTTCTGATGTTATTAATTTTCAATTATTTTTATCATCTTCATCATTCCTATTATTAACATTGTTATGATTTTATTTTAGGGAGAATTTTTAACCCAAAAAGAGGCAGCGTGGGCGATCAGTAACTTCACAGTCAGTGGAACACCGCAACAGGTGGGCGGGCCAATCATATTATGCTGATTATGGTGCGGGTAATATAGGGGTATATACATCCAAAAATATCCTACAAAACTCTTGGTGTCAATTGACATCCACCAATAGTTAATAAGGTTGTTAAAAGGAGCTATGCTGAGACGCAAAAGCTGTTTTAGTGTTTATCGATAGAAATCGTTCTAAACAACGAATTATGGGCAGCTCCCAACGTGGAGAATAAATTGATGTACTGCTCAGCTTTATTTTTCAAAGGCAGTTTTGTTTTTCAGGGAGTGTAGCTATCCTTGTGAGAATTCTCACGCTACTGCCTCCTTAAGAAGGCGTTGTTTTCTTCTCGTCTCTACCTTTGAGGGTTACTCGAGCCGCACTCTTTTCTGTGGATTTGCGCACTGCTGTAAAGCGAGTAAACATAACATGTGTTCTGCAGGCCGGGTTAGAAATTAAGATAATTGATAATAAACGGTTTGCTTGGAGACCTGGCTTGCCAACTCAATTGGTTAAAGCACTCCGCCGTTTTCGCAGAGCTCAGGGTTCGAATCTAGTCTGCTACACAGCCGTTTTTAGTGTCGTCACGCAATGCTCCTCCCCACTAACTTAGTGGGGAGGAGCGTTGCGTGACGACACTAAAAATGGCTGCGTAGCAGACTAGGTTCGAATCCCGCCAAGCTTGAATTTTTCAGGCCTCCTTTTTGCAACTGCATTAGTTGCTTCTTTAACTGTGGTGATCTTTTTTGCATCCACTTCTTCACCCCGCAGTTATAATATTATAAAATTCATATACTCATCATTTCAATGTATAAACTCTTGTTTAAAAGAGTTTTTGAGAGGTCCCCGTGGTTTCATGCCGGGATCACTTTTTGACCTTGTTTTACACGTTTGTGCTTCGTAGGTTGGGGTCCTTGTTGAATGCGGTGCGATTGCTCCGTTCTGCAAGTTACTCGAGTGTATGGACACTCAGGTAATCTTCTTTTCATTTTCACCCTTTTTACGCCCGCATCGAACTGTCAATTTATATTTCATTTAGGAAACAAAATTTCGAGGGAATTATTCGCTGAACGACTCCCTGTAAAATTATTCTTGAAGTAACGTTTCTTGACCTTGACCATTAAAGTTATTATATTTATGAGTTGTTCTCCTTATATTTACGAAATACTGGCGTATATATCTCGTGTGGCCTTCTTTGCAAGCATTAAGCATATCCCGAAAACGTATTATCGACCGTTATACGTTTTTTGAGTTTTAATTTTACGACATGTTCTAATGACAGCAGAAAGAAAGAAAAGAAGCGGGAAACATATATACTTTAAAATTCGCTCAGTGCTAGGCGTTTCGCGAGTTAATGTGTGTCACTCTGAACCACAAAGCAGGTTATTTGAAAAAAGTAATAATAAAACAAGACTTTAAAAAATTCTTTTTAACAGGTTATTCAGATTGTACTGGATGGCATCAATAATATTTTAAAGGTAGGTGCACATTCCCTTGTTTTCACATTGGCTTCTGTCCAGACGGTACCTTGCTTTGTCTTATGTTCATAATTCATGACGCGCACGATTTTTCTGGAAACGTTTTGAGATCATGTGTGTGACTTGTAGTTGCAGGTCCGAGTTAAGAGATGCCAGAAGGGGCTGTTATTTAAAGGCGCAAATAGTCTACCAGTGTTTGTCACTTTTGACATTTAAACTGACAGTCAAGAGCATTGTCCTCCGAACTTAAACAGAGCTAACCTCAAATATTTACTCACAATACACTTAGTACTGTGTTTATGTCATGTTTTTTCGCAAGGTGATGCATTCGATATTAAAAAGATGCCTTCTTCAGTTTTTTTTTGCATGCCACGAGCAACGGAGAAGCTTGTAGGAAGTATTTTATTTTATACAATACCTACGCCACAACCAACAATACTTTCACCGGTTACCGCTCGTTTCGATACAAGTTGATGCGGGCGTTTTGTAAATAGTTTCATGTCCTTGGAATATTCGAGTACTCACACCAAATGTTTTTCTTGTTCACGCGCAAGCTATACTTGAAGTGATCAAAATTCTTGTTATTTCCAATGCATCGCAACGACTTGTATCGAAACGACCGGTTTCGCTTTCGCCACCACCAACAATATCACTCCCCCATGTCTTTTTACAGCTATTTCGAGAGAGGTTGTCGAATAAAGTGCACTCGACAACCCCGAAAGGTATTGTGGGTGGTTTTGAGTTCACTGTTTTTCAAAGAAATAAAAGTAGGTTTGACAGCTACAGTGTTAGGAACTGTGTATTGACCATATTCCATATTACCTTTTGGGATTGTTGCGTACACATTTTTCCGACAATCCTTCTCGAAACAGCTGTATACAGTCGAACCTCGATGTAGCGAACGTTAAAACGAACGATATTCTGTACTCCAGTTATAGTGGAAAGAACCTCGATAACGAAATCTCGTTATAGCGAACTAATTTGGCCAGTCCCTTGGCCCTTCGTTATATCGAGCTTCCACTGTTCGTACAAACCTCTCCTCATTCTCTGATTTGTATTTTGTTGCAGATGGCTGGTGAAAGATCAGAAGCCATTGCTACTATCATCGAGGAAGCTGGAGGTTTTTAGACTATTTTTACCTCTTTGAATTTACATTAACCTTAATGAATCCCTTCACACTCAAGATTGCCGAGGACCAATTTACGAAAAACGTCAAATTTGATTTGGTAAGGTATATGAAAAGATATTTAACCGATCGGGCTATTAATTGAAAGAAAAACAACAGCAAAATTATTGTATTTTATTCAAAAGAAAGGAACAAAAATTCTTCCACCCCCAAGTAAAGGGCTAGTCGTGGCGGGGGGAAGACGAAATATCAACAAGATATGATTTTGTCCACAGACTCAAGAGTTAGAACTTCATGACATTGCGTTTTCTCCCAGCATGAATGTTAGTACATCATCAAGAGAACTGGTTTTGAGAATTAATAGACCATTTTCGATATATTCATACTTGGCTCCCAGGCTTGACTTGGACTGTCCTCCTCCTTACATGACCGTTTTCTGTTGCGTGAAATGGCTCCCCGGTTGTTGAAATGAAACAAATGATAGCCCAGCCTTACAAAGAGGCAAAGGTTTGTCTTTGTGAGAAAAGGTCCTCCTCTTGAGTGTGTTTTTACCCTTTGAACCCTAAGATCAAAATTGAGATTCTCATTTACTGTCCCTATACTTTTTCAATAAAGGAATGGGGAGAATTTGTTGAAATATCAATTAGACACATCTTCCCTGATCATGTCGTCACTTCTCATGACCACTCTGTGTGCTAAAGCATTGATATTATCAGGAGAAATTTCATGCTGATCGCTCTTAGGGCTTAAAGAGTTAATAGAGGGCTAGAACCCATGGAAAGAAGTTGTCTTTGCTTTTGAGTCTGTGGATGAAATCCTACTGTGATCAGCTAAACGCCTTTTATTTTGTAAATAATTCACTAAGCGAATTCAGCAAAAGCTTGGTTTGAAGCAGTCTTGAGAGTGGCAGATTTAAGTTAAGGTTGTTTAACAAAATCATTACTCAAGTCCTATTTCACCTAGCCTACGAACGCAGACCTATTCACGGTCGTCGCCTGTCTCCACCCGAAAAGAGAGAAGCGAAGACCGAAGTAAGGGCCTGGTTACATGGAGGTGGGGGACCCCAGATAGGCGAGGTAACATCCGGCGGGTCACCCCTGCACCTATCATGTAAAATGAGAGATTATATGGACAGGCGGGTTACCTCACCTACCTCGGGTCCCCCGCCTCCATGAAACAGGACCTAAGTCTGCGTTTCTCAGGCTATATTTCACCCAGGTCCGAGAACCATGAACTGAATGGGAAGGTGTTTCTCCTTAGGTTTCTAAATTTTCTCAGTCCTCTTCCTAAAAAAAGTCCAGAGTTCCCATTGAAAAAATCCCGTAAAAAAAGACAAAACATCCACGCAAGATTTTTTTCTATGGCGTAAGCACTCCTCCCCTAAATCCGGGGACTTTTATTTGAAACTGTCAATCTTCCCGCGCGTAACGTAATTTCCGGTAAAAATGCCCTTCCGGTTCGCTCTTACAAACAATTCTTTTAGAAAAAAGGCACAAGAAATAATCCTTAACAGAAGGTATATCCTCCTCTCTTTCTTACCCTGTAAGAGTTGTTTGTCCATCAAAAGGGTACCTTTTTGAACAGCCTTGGCGGCTGGTACCCGCCTATTCTAATTGATAGACATTATTTAGCCTGAGGTGGAAAACAACGTGAGTGGAAAAACTGGTATCAACCACGAGATGTGAAACTAAATAAGCTAACAAATCCATCTGCAGTTTATCTCCCTTCCAAACAATCTGTGGCTTTTCTCCCAAAATTGACTAACACGTACAGTCCTGAAATTCCGAGCGCGACTACCACCCTTTCAACCCTTCAGATCAACTTCGATTTTAACCCTTCCTAACCCTTGTTGATCATAGGCCGCTGTAAAAGTTGAATTACTTATGCTTTCTTCTCCTGTTAGGCTTGGACAAGATCGAATCCCTGCAAAACCACGAGAACCAAGAAATCTACAAGCTTGCTTTTGGAATAATTGATAAGTACTTCTCCAATGAGGTATGTGTGTTTTTATCATTAGAGTCATGGTGGTTTGTCTATTGTACGTACGTCCCATGAGTTTATTTATAATTTTTCTATAATCTCCGTCTTGTTTCCACGAGTTACTTTTTTTATTCTTAAAAGAAATCTATTTTGAACGGCATTCATTCAGTTTGCCCTTGACTGCCTTATGGAGTGTCTTTGCCATCCCTAACATTCAAAATATTTACAAATAATGAAAAGACCTGCGAAAAGCGACTAAGGATGTTTCGCTACACTGCAGCTTAATCGACTTCCTGCTTTTTAAAATTGACTGATTTGTATCGTAATGTTCTGCTCAATGAGCTCTTCACACGAGTATTGTGATGTGCAATAAATTATCATGGTCTTAAACATTGTAGCAAATCGACTGTGCAGCGGAAACACTTCGTAGCGAATTGACCGAATACCTGAGCCGTCATCGTGCGATCACAGGTCATTAGCTTGATGATATTTATCAGATGGTTTTCCTATTTACTGATTTATTTAATTCGCCACGGTGTATTACTTTTAAACTTGGCAACTTTATTGATTTTAAGGCGTTGTTTTCAGTCGTGTTGATGGATTTTCGCTAACTGGTCCCCGTCAAAAGTTAGAAAAAAGACTTGGAAGGGTCTATCAAACCTGGGCCTGCCCCTCTATAGCCTGTGTACACCCCCCTGCCCTTCTCCGATTTTTCTTGAGGGGAGGGGGGGTTTGTACACAGACTAGCCCCTCCTAACCCTGGTCCGTCCGAGTTAACCAGGCGAAAGCGAAAATGTTACTAGAAGTATCGCGATATGGTCCAGTCAAGAGTGTTGTTTATTTCTGTGTTTTTTGCAATGTCTACAACAGCTGTTCATTAAACTGCTGGTACAAAACAGTACCAACACCAGTCACAAACTTTCAGTTGGCTTTCACTAAACAGCCGTCCTCTTTACCTGTTATTAGCCTTGTTTTCTTATCGAATCCGTTTTCGTTTGCGTACCTTGTATTTTGTCTCGCGTGAACCCGTGCATTATAAGCGCGAACACAACTGCCGCTGGTGTTAAGATAACCGTTAAGGTAGCTATAGACCTGTTAACTGTTTCAAAACTACTTGAGTTTGAACTGGAATTTGCTCTAAGCTTTGTTGTTATGCGCTGTTGCATGTGATAATTTAACCGGGAAACCATATTTTGCGAAGTAAATATTACACCGATACTTAAAGCGCGATTCTCCTCCGGAAGAGAATTTCTTTTAGAATAACAACAGTTCAATATATTTGTGTCTTTGGTTCAGTGAAGATGTTCCGCGCTTTTGACCTCAGCGTTACGCTTGACAATTGAACCCTACAAGTAGGCAGAGTCCAAATTAGACAAATTTACTTTTGTGAAAGTTTGGAAGAACAAATAGTACTATGCGAAAGGACTGGCAAAAAGGTTGCATTTGAATGGTCACACCGCAAGATTTGGTCCACAGACCTCAAAAGTGAGAGCCACCGTACATGATTCCATCATTCACTCTGCTGATAGTGAAGGGCTAATCAGTGTGAGGTTTGCAACGATTTACGACTAACTTTAGAGATCTTTGGATTCGAGGACGAGAACGGACAGAGCGACTACGAAGGCGAGATTTAACTTTAATTTTTTTGCGTATTCTCAGAAAATGGACACCCCGGAAAGCTTCATTACATTTTTTTTTTTTCACCAGAAAAGCTAGCATTGTTATCTTTATTGAAAGAGGTTAAGACGCAAAATGACAAAACTTCTTTCATTTGATATTTTTTTCCGCCACCACGACATTCTTGCAAAAATTCGTAGTAGAATGAAGACGATTATCACGTTTTCCCGCCAAAATGACCCTGGTTCACGCAAGCGCACTACTTATTATTGGGAAAATTTTTTTTCTCGTAGTGGTCCTCATCTTAGAATCTAAAGGTCTATATTCTTATTTTGATTTCGGAGGCGACCGGTGTTTCAAAACACGTGTTTTACGCGTGTCTAGTCCTCTCATGTTATGACTTCTTGGTGAAATCATTCGTAGCTTGCATGGATAACCAAGCATGGCTGCCAACACTCGTGTGTCCGTTAAATGTCGTTACGCTCAGCCAGCTGCAAAGGATTCTTTTGTGGAATGTTAACACAGGCGAATGTCAACAACAAGTCAGTGTGTTGTAATCCCCTGAACTGCTAACTCTATATCTGCTGGAGTGAGTTTTGGAAGCATGTAGGGTCGGATATTTTCAATATAGAGTTCCTGAAGATGTTAACAAAACGCGTTCTGAGTCATTTTTTCACTTTGGCTTCCCTAGTATCTAACATTTTGTACTTTTAACCGACAGTGTTCGAAATGCCTGTAGCACACACTACAAAACCATTTATTTACGTACATTATCCTACATTCAAGCAGATATCCCACTGTCACAAACGGCAGGCTTGCTTCAGTAGACTTCGTTTAAATAGCGAGTTCGCAGTGTCTTTCTAACTATCAGGTCTGTGGACCAATTCTTATAGTGTGGCCATCTCGTCAAAGGTAGTTTTGCTAGGTACTATTTATCCTGTAATATTTTTATTGAATGAACTTTTGAAATTCTGCTAAATTTTGACGTTGGCTGCACCACTGAGAGGAAATTGTGTAAAAACCTATCTAATGGTTTTCTGTAGCGAAACTTCTCTTCACATATCCTTTTTGTTTTCTTTTGAAAGTCATTTTACATTCTTGTGATGATTTCCTTTGTTGCTGAGTAATTCTTGTTTGTTTTTTGGTCAGGGTGACAACGGTGAAGAGGAACTAAACCCTACAGAAATAGATGGACAGTTCGAGTTCCAGGCCAAAGATAACCTGCCTCCTGGTGGATTCAAGTTATAAAGCTCGTTTGTTACCCTCATGTGCTGTCGAAAAAAAACTGACAACTGACAGAGACTTGTACTTACCCAATAGAGTGAGTGAGAGAGCGAATGAGAGATACGCGTGCGAGAAGAGAACTAACCAAACGCGATAAAAAAAAAATGAACGTGAGCGAGCGAGATAGCGCGCGTGTGAGAGAGAACCAAACGCCATAGAAAATGTGAACGTGAGCGAGAGAGCGAGCGAGGGAGTGTGTCATGCTAACAGACTCATAGAACAAATCGCTGATCCTTAAGTCCCGCCCCCCGACAGATTGATTGACAAGTTATTGCCGGCTCTGCTTGGACCAAGCAACGCGGCTTTTAATTGAATGTGGTTTAATTTTCGTCGGCCGGAACGTGGAAAGGGTTGCAATTGACGAACGGGAATCGCCTGGCGACTTCTTATGTGTGGCTGGAATGTCGCAATGGTTTTGAAGCGCGGAATTGTTTGTTAAAGGACTTACTCAGCAGTGTTTAAATATCAGAGGTGATGTTGGAGCCTCCAGTAACACAAGCCTGTGTCGGCGACTTTTAAATAGCTCATTGCACGTGCTTTGCACGTAAATCTTATGTTCTTTTTAAAGGCACATAGGAGAACTTTTTCACTTGATAGTGACTATACTTGGACTGGAATTTTTATCTCCTTTAGCCTCTAAGAAAGGAACGAAGCGTCGAGGATAAATATTTAGCCGTTTTCGGTTTACAGATTTACAGTAGTTTTCCATATCTTGCCAGCGACCGAATTCTCTTTGCAGTATTATTTTTTTGTAACTTGTGGTTTTAGTTTTCGTAAATCGCAGCTCTGTTTTATTGCCCTCTTAAGCACTTGTTAGTGAGAAAACGATGTATCAAATTGTAAAGTACCGAATTTTATGAGTAAATTTTAACCATCCTTCAAATTTGACTTGTGTTTATTTTAGTGCGTCTTTGAGGGCAATCGTCGGCCGAGTTCAGAAACTCTACTCTTGTGTTTGTAGCGGATATTGAAAAACTCACAAGTGAAGTGTTTGTTTGGAAGTTGTTATTTTACACTTGAGAGAAGACAAACACTGCGACAGATCATGTATGTGAACTTCCTTTCCGTTCACAGTCTTTGAAAACAAAATATCAATCGGTAACAGCAAAATCGTGAGTGGGGCTGGGTTTTTGTTATCTGTTAAATACAGCTAGATACCATCGCAATTAAAACCGAGGATGAAAGAGGGCGTAATTTTACTTCACATTGACACTAACAGGATTAAGTAATCGTAAATTTCTACCTTTCTGAGCTACTTATCAATTCAAAACTGTCAAATTCATTTTTTTTTCTCTCGAATTGACGTTATTCTCATTTGCATCAGGCTTGTGCTTATTATAACCTCGTCAATTTTCGTACATTTGGCGATAATTAGTGATTATTTTAGTAATAAGAGCCTTTCGGTGCCTTTTTAAAGGAAAAAGAACTCCCCCTGTACTATGTTTTATTTATAAACTCGATTAATTTCGCGCGAACGCTTGGCTTGGCAAAATACAGTTATTACATTATCACTGTTGATTCCGATTCCTTTCACACAATTATGCCATTAATATTCACTAGCACATTGTTCCTGTGTTTGCCCTTTCCTCCTTGTTTATGCTCTCAGGAACAACAAACTAATTGCTGAAAAAGCGCTCGTGAAAGAGCTCTTTCAAGCGACTCAAATACAACCCTTAAATCAAAACGCTGTATCGTAGTTCCCGCGGAATTTTACCCACTCAAAATCGCGAGAGAGTGCTTTTGTTTGTGGTCGCGATGATTTTGTGAGCTTATTAGTTTAATTAAATTGGAATGAGTTGGTGATAAAAAGACATTTTATTATTATGATAATAGCTATCGCGGCGCTTAGAATTGTGGCATTGAGTAAACAACTAATATCACCTATGCGATAATGTGTAATTCCCGTCAGCGGCGCGCCTCAAACGCCTGAATGGACACGCGATTTCATTGGCTCCCCGTCACGGTTGTATCGACTCAAGATAAACGGTATTAATTAATTAATTACGGGGACAAATGGTGATTAATTAACCCAATCAAAACGTTGAGAAGGGTGCAAGTTTTTCAATATTCCCTTCTTACCGGGTTATTGTTTTGGGCAGCTGCAGATTTCAGCTGTTAAACCTATTTACAGTTGAATGTGGTTTTAATTCTTATTTATTAGGACGGAATATTTGGAGATTACGCTTGAAAGCGTGCCATAGAATCCACAGTGCACAGTTTCTCGCTGGCGCAATGTTGCCACGACGGAACACAAGTACATAAACTGTTTTCACGGGGTGAAGAGACCACCTTTATTGTGATCTTGACCCCGTGGATGATTCGCCGCGAAAAGAAAGGGTTCGCTGGCGCATCATCAACATCTTTTTAAGTGGTTTGTGAAAGGAGACGATCGCGAACAAACATCTTCAACAGCGGTGAGTCAACATGGTTCTTTAACTCACTTAACCTTGTATGTTGAGTGCCGTGGAATTGTTCGAGTCTTTGGCAAACTCTAGTAGTTAGCATTATAAAAACGCAAGGAAATGGAAATCATGGTATCTTGGCACACGGTCGTTATGAAGGATCTGTCATTTTTTTTCGTTGTTTTCGGCTATTTGATCAAATGAGATTAAACTAATTGCTAATGTAAAGAATATGCGCTGGGATATCATGACGGGCTCTAATGAACTTTCGCAGTTTTATTAATTTTATTATCGGCTAAGTATTTCATTGGTTTTACACCAATAGCTGTTCACGTGCGGTTGGCCGGTGCGCGTTGCTTTATTAACGCACTTACACGATTTGGCAGATTCCATTCACGGAAACGATTCAGCCCGCCAGCACGGAAAATGTCTGCCAAATCCATCCCTTCTTCCTACAGCATTGATGGTCTGCTTGGGCTTAGCCGAGACGATGACAATAAGCAAAGGACAAAACCTGACCAAGTCATCGACCAAACACTCTTGGGTCAGAGCACAAAGAAGAGCGAAAGAGGTACCCTATAGTTTTACTATTTCTTGTTAAAACGCTTCGTTACCTCGAAAGTCTCTTGTATTTCCCGCATCAGAAATTTATGAACTGGGAAGTGAACAGGGCGGGAGTACATTTTTTCTAATGCCACAGTTTTTTTGTTGTTTGTGCTGGTGGCATATTCCCCTCTGTTAACCAAGGCGGGCTGTATATCAATATTTTGCCTCTGAATTTATTGTTCATCAAACTTGAAAACTCTTTTGTGGACTAATTGTTACAAAGAGAGGTAAAACATATGTAAAGGCTCTCTGAATTTCTTTTATTGATTAGTGAATAAGATTCACCCACTTCGCTTTCATTATGGTGTGGAAGATTAGTTTTAATTGTCACACAAGCATTAAACACAAATCACCTTAATTTTCTTAATCTAATATTCACCCTTTTCTCCTAGTTCTAAACAGCAGACCACAATTTATTTAGAACTTCTTTCTTCTTTATAGAAGACGATTTGGAGTCGAGTTTAACAAGTGCAGAGGACGTAGTCGAGAACGGAGAAGAAAAAGAGAAAAGCGAGGATGAAGACGGAGAAGATAGCAAGTGTTCGTCGGGAAAAAGGAAACAGCGCAGATATCGCACAACTTTCACAAGCTATCAGCTAGAAGAACTGGAGAGAGCATTCTCGAAGACTCATTATCCAGATGTTTTCACGAGGGAAGCACTGGCTATGAAAATTGATCTTACTGAAGCTCGAGTTCAGGTAAAAATTTTAAACGTTTAATATCCTTATAGATTACTATCCCGTGCGATAGGCAATATTCTTGAACAGATATCACGGAAAACGTTTATGAGCTGATTTGGCCGGCGGGTAATTAAATAGTCCAATTTAGCTGCGGATGAAAACCACTTTATTGGAAAAGATAAGAAGTGGAAACGAATTATCCTCCTCAAATGAGAGGCATCTGTCGGTGATCGATCACGATAAGCGAGCCATCATAAAACTATTACTGCTAGGAAATTAATCGCCACTGTAATTTTGTCCCGTACTTGAAAATTGATTGCCTCTAGCAATTATTTTTGTAATTGCGTTGATGATTTTTTCAGTGCCTAAAACTTTTACGGCAAGATTTGTCAGGGGAAATCATCGCCAGGCTCTAATCAGTTTAGTCATGTTTATAGCGCGGCACTGAGGCGGTTTGTTGATTTATAAGCCCCTTGCTGCGAGCGAATTAGTATGAAAATGTATCTAAAACGCCGAGACAAGTTGTTCCTACTCAATCAAAAGGAAGAGTTTTGTTTTACTTTAAGTGCAATAAAAACTAAGTGCCCTTTCTATATTGGCAATTTATTATGTTTCACATTCATAACAAATGTTCGCGATTTTCGCAGTAGTTATGCAAAATTGATGTTGACTTTGTATGGTCTCTGGTTTAATAGCAGTAAAGAAAAACGTTTACAACGCAGCTTAAAACAAGAAGTGGAAATTTTCGCTCCAGTCAACTAAGCTTCCAGGGGTGGCGTTTTTTGCACTAAAAAGGTGGTAATTGTTGTGTGAATTTTCTTACAGGTTTGGTTTCAAAACAGACGAGCCAAGTGGAGAAAACGCGAGAAGGCACAAGGCGTTCGCTTACACGCTCCGCTCGGTTTAAACAACGCTCTAGTGCCACCACCGTTATCCGCTTATACTTCAGAGCTAAGCAGCAAGACACATGATCATGACTGGGATGGATACCCCCCAGGTCTGCCTCATCCTTCGCCATCATTCCCGACGCTTCGTCTTCCCTTACATCCAGCTTGTCCCCAGTCAGCAAGCTTGGGCCACTTGTACTCGCCCTTCTACACTCACCATTCCGAATACTACCCCTCTGTGCTAAGCGGCTCGCTTCTAGCGGCCGCTGCTGCGTCGTCTGCGGGATACAAGACGCCTGTGTTTAAATTTTCGCCCAGCATCGCCTCTCGTAGTTCTCCTCCCCTTGCGCCGCCAAGAAGCGCCTCACCAGTGGAGTCTGACAGGAGGACATCAAGTATCGCGGCTTTAAGACTCCGAGCGAAAGAACACTCGGCTTCGTTTACCTATTTGTCATCATCTGACTAAAGCGTTTGTCTTGCTCGTACAAATGTACTTTGCTATGAAAGAACATTTACCAGAGAAATCTACTCCACTCGGACAACAGTTCTTAGGATATCAATTTTTAATTAAGTTTTAAATGAAAAGTTTCATTTGCTAAATCCCTTTATCCCAAAAGGATGATCGGTAGACTGAATTTTTCGCCCGCGAAGGTATGAGATTTCTCTCTCTCTCGCTCTCGCCTTTTTTTCTTGTTTTAATTACGCTGGATTGCGTTGTTCGTGAATAGTGTCAAATGTCTAGCAACTAAAGAGCTGCTAATTTGTTTGGGGGCGACTCAGTGAGAACTAACCACCCGGTCAATAATTTAATAAACGGCTTTGTTTGCGTAAGTAGCACACGAGTTCTTAACACAGGGTCACACAAATCACGCTGGCAAGCTATCATAGCAACACACAGAACCACCGCTGTCGGTCGCTTTGTTGATGTCGACAGAAAAATATTACTTTACTAATAGGATAGCGGAAAAGAGTGCGAGACTGGGATTATGAAGGAATTAGTCGCATTAGACTTATCTATCAATGAGATAATTGATGAATCGTTTACAGCGCCACTTGAAACACCACCTGATATTACTAGTTTGCCTTATTTGGTAGCAACACCGGTAGGCACCTGCCACGCGGGCTGCTGGGTAATTTAGTTGACCATGAAGATCGGATTGAAAATCGGCAAAATGATGGCTGCAAGTTTTGCCCGGGTTTTAATCGACATACAAAGCAGGCTGTCATTAAGTTACTACAACAATCGAACCCTTTTATGAAAACAACAAATTTGAATAATTTAATTACGTCTCAAGCAATACGCAGATATGTAATCAACGACTTTTAATTACCGGGATGAAATTCGATTACTTCTGACGCGTGTGATTGGTGTTTTGGAGGTTTTCTTGTGTAACTTGTTTCCTTTTCGAATAAAGTGAGCTACCCTTTAGATTACCGAGATATTAGCACTTGAAAAAGGCACCGCACTTTAACGAAAACTGATCCGAGACGGCTTTCTTTTACTTGTTAAATAAGAGTTACAAGAGGATCATAGAATTACTCATTAGTTCAGTGCGTTTATGCAGAGCAACTTCTCGTTGCCTTGCAACGGTTGCCCAACTCATTTCTTAATTCTGATTTCAATATGTATTTAATACAAGTAATGTCAAAATTTGTGACATTGCGCCTTTTAGCAAAAGGTTTACGTCGCCATAAACATTGGATTTTACTTGATTTGCGGTTACGCGGTTTGAAGATTTGGGGAACTCTTCGTTAAGTAACCGCTATAAACCCCTTTAATTAGGAGGGAAGACTGAACCATTCATCCGACAATACTGTGTGAAGTAATATGAAGTGGTACAGAATAAGAAGTCTCGCTCTGACCAAAAAAACTGGTAGCAGCCCGCGAGCCAACTTTCTCGATCCTCGTGGTTTTCGCGAATTTTGTCGCACGCGCGCGTTCCGAGTAATTTATCCTGCGTGGCGAGTTTGGCGCGAAAGTCGGGATGACGTCAAAAGCCTCACTATCTTCCAGTCCCCCTCCAACCATATGACAGAAAGAGTCGTGTGTTAACCTTGTGTCAAAGACAAAAACTACCTCCTACGCAAGAAGCTAACTCCTAGACCAGCCCATCCTCGGGGACCCAGGGGCGGTCTGTTCGCTCAGGGAAAACGGCGGCAAAACAGCCCCTGGGATGCTACTCTTAACGAACACCGCCCCCTTTCCCAAGTCGTGCGCGTCTTGTTTTCGCTTTACTCGTTTTAACACGTTCCCACTATACTATCTGAGAGCCTGGCACAGGCTATTAACGAACCAGTTCGACGACTCATTCGAATGCTTGTCTGTGATTGAGCACAAATAATAAGAGGCTAGTATCTATCGCGCTGCTTTTGTGATCTTCTTATACAACGAAGTTCACTTGCAAACTCGACTGTTTGCCGGACATGATTGGCTCATGCAGGAGAGCTTTCTTGAAGACATGAGGAGTTTTCAGTGAAATGGGCCCAAAACCAAAGAAATTCCATAATCAGCGGTAAAATTTCCGTATGAACTCTGTTAAATTTATTATGTATGCAGCAATTTCATACTATTTCACACAAATAGTTGATATGCACAGAGAAGAAACATGCATGCATAAAACTTCTATGGGGTTACCCCATAATTTAGCATGTTAGTAAAATAAAACAAAACGAAAAATGCACCAGTTGAAGAAATTAAACTGTGGACTGATCGAAGGTAAATTCGTAGACACCAGAGTACACCTAGGCATGTTCATAAGAAATCGTCTGGGTGATTGTTTACGCCTGCTCGGCATACTTATCAGGCACGTGCAGGAGTAATTTTTTCGCCCTTTAAAGTTTGTAAATTTGTTGTTCAGTTTTTCTCCTCAGTGACACAAGAGGATCGAATGAAACTGGTAGAGTAAAATTTGGGGCTAATTTTCACTGAAAACTCTTCTCGAAGAAAGCTCTCCTGCACCAGCCAGACGTTCAATACGGGAGACAATTTAACACGGGCGTAGCGGGAGCAGTCGAGTTTGCAGGTCAACTCCTTTGTGTAAGAAGATGACGAACGCAGCACGATAGATGCGCACTGGTCTCTGATTGGGCACAAAAATATTTTTTGTGCCCAAAACATAGACAAGTATTCGAAGAAGTCGTGGAACTAGTTCGATACGAGTAGCATTCCAGGGGCTCGCCCCGCTCCTGACCGTTCTTGAAAATTTTCGTGACCAAACTGACCGTCCCCGGGACTCCGAGGATCGGAGACAAGCCCAGTCCCATTGCGTTCTCGGCTCGGTCAATCCTGGACTCTATAGTACATGAGCCGTGACGTCACCGAGAGAGTCTCACCCTCTCTTTCCCAGACTTCGCACAGACAACGGGGCAAGAGAGAACTGACGCCAAAGGTATAGGCGGCTCCCAGACTACTGGGCCACACTGCCAGTGACTAATCATGTGATAAAAAAATCGTCGTAGTAACTCGTCAGGTTCAAGTTGCACTGATTTGATAGTGAAATCAAAATTTTCGGCGAACCACGGGTCTTACCTCCAGTGCTTTTATGACTAAAGCATACATGTATCAGTATAGAACAAAGCAGCAATCCTGCACCGACTGAAAGCGGTTACGAACAAAGTACAATAAAGGAGTAAGACTGTTTTCATCCGAGAATTCGAAGTCTCTGGAAGAAATTAAAGTAAAAGCAAATCGCTGATTTCTAAAGCATATTTAACGAATATTCGTCTCCACAGTCGCTTCCTGCGAGATGTTTACTCCAAGCCTTCCTGACGCAAATAATCAGATTTTGAATAAAGCCCATGATGCTTAGCAATACCAGTGCGCACACCAGTTGCTTTCCTGCTGCGCATTTGGCGTGTAGGTCATTCAATTGTTAGAGGGTCTCGATGGGGTTTACTGTTAGCCCGTCAAACGGTCTAAAATTTAACCGTCAACCGATGCATTCCTTGACCCTAGAGGATTTGGGAATTCGGGTACTTGTCCTTAGATAAAGCAAAACTAGCGAAAATCAAGCAATCTCTCATCACCAAAATACATGTAGTTTTAACTACATAAACGTTCACCTCTTTTTCTAGCCAATCAATCAATCAATCAAAAAATCAAGTGAACAATCAAGTAAACAAACAAACAAACAAAAAACATCAATTTAAAGTAAAATAATGAAATTTTGACTTATACAGAATGTTTCTCTTAATATCAAATCGAAGTGTAATATGCTCCAAGCACAGTACAATTCTATTAAAAAGGTAAAACAGAATTACATGTTCTATTTTTTTTGCACAAGTGGGTAAAAGGGGAGAAGGGGGTAAAAACAAATTCATGGGTTCAAACATGCAAGCATTGCTTTAGCAGGACTATTGTGCATGAGACCAGATACGATTAAGCCTTTCCTGAATGCGAAATTGTCGTGAGTAATGACGTGAGACTTGGTAGAGAGGCTCTGTCGGGGGGGGGAGTCCGATGTCACTCGTCTGAATTTTAAAACGTCTCGTGTCGGCGTTTATAAATGCTTGATCGTGCCGCTGTCGGAAATTGAACGAAAATTCGTTGTCTTTGTCGGAAATTTAGCCAAGGGGGATAGCGATGCGTTGTAAAGAAACCATGCATTTAGTTCTGCAATTTCTCTATAACGTTTCGCTTATCGAACACCTATACATCGCCATTCACAGTTAAGACAATTCCCCGGAAGCTCACTGACAAGATACGTTCTCTGAAACGAAAGGAAAATTGACGAAATTTACATCTTCTTGGCATTTAGACTGGTGATAATTTAGCCAAACCACTGCACTTTGTCGCTTATTCTCGGCTTTGCCGTCATCGTCGCAATTTGGCTGAGGGAGGTTGCCTCTTGCCGCAATTTCATTTTACGCTCTGTCGCTACCTTTTGGGTCATGTTGCTTGTCTGTCCCTCGCTCGTGCGTTCTCGCGAGGCTCGCTTCGCTCGCCTAAATAGGACAGCTTGCTGGCAGGCTAACCAAAAAGTTCAAGCGATGCGCTCATGGTTCAGTTACACACTGCAGAAATCAGTATTAATAGGACATTCATGGTATTTTGATCATGCAATTGAAAAACTGAGTTCCGCTTTTACGCGTTAAATCAGCCTAAACACAACAATTATTAAGCTTCCTCTGATTGGCTCGGTGCTGAAAGTTAAGATACCTTCTTCGTGCCAATTTATTGCAGTTGTGTTGCAATCCTCGGAGACCCAGGGACAGTCAGTCAGTCGGGGCGGGAAAAGAGGCGCACGGGGGCTTTTTCGCCCGTGCTTGAAAACTAGTTTTCTCGCCCCTTTTTTTTGTCCCGACCCGACTGACTGCCTCTGGGTCTCCGAGGATGAGGTAAACAGAGAATGCTTGCTTTTAAGCTTAGTACCCGTAGTCCTCTGCGGTCCGTGCGGGTGGGCTTACACAGACAACGTTGAACGTTGAAATAGCTACAAACGTTGTCGGTGTAACTCCACGACTCGCAAGGGAGTATATAGGTACCGACCTTATTGAGCAAATATTCTCTGTTTACCATATGATTATATCAATAAAAGCAAATGACGACACGTACCAGAAAATTCGTTACCCAATCTTCTAGCAGCGCCAACTCAAAAAATAGTCCAAAGGAGCCTCAAATGATGACCATGGAAAATGTTTGAACTACAATTTTTATCGTTGTTTTCCTCGGCGAACTTCATTTTTGATATTTATTACGGCACTCACACACAAGAAAAAGATTGACAAGGTTTTCCGTTTCGTTTTTTAATTGCTTTCAGTGAAGAGACATTTGGAAGGTACGTTACTGGAGACTATAAGTTAGGTCTATGATCTCTCTCCCTGAAATCGTACAGCTCCCATGCAGTTATAGTTTCACTTACGCGGACCCACTTTTTTGCTATGCTAATGAGATGAATATTTTACGAGCGTTTCTATGGGGGTGCTTTTTCCGTACAATAGATTCTCACGAATTTTTGCGAAACAATATAATAACATTCTCGTCCCCGGGCTTTGAGGACGAGAATGATATAATAATGATTCAAATTAATTCACCCATGCGCAAATCAAGTCAACATTATTTTTGAAAATTCTTAACGACATCGTTGTCAGGTGCTACTCTTCCACTGAAAGATGGCGGATCGCTTGCGTTTCATGAAACTGAGGAAAGTCAAGCTGCCGGGACGACTTTATGGACATTTTAGAAGATCTGAACAACTGCTAAGTCTCACGAACTCACTGAAAATGTATCATGGGCCAACTCTGATCGCAAAGAGAGCTCTGAACCTCAAGGCTACCCTTGCTTCTTGACCAACCGACGAGGCGACATTGTAATCGGTTGACGACTGGTAAGTAGGAGCTACTAATTTTATAGTTAAAGGCCAGGATATTTTTCACAACT